TATATATATATATATATATATATATATATATATATATATATATTAGTTCTAAATTTATTTATTTTTGTCGATACAAACTTTCTTCGTTAATATTTTATAAAGTTTCCTTAACTGTGACAGATTGTAATATTTCTCAAAAAAATGTTGTTTTTTTTAAATAAAATACTTTATCAAAATCGTAAAGTGAGACATTATTTTGAAGATTATCTACAAAGCTACAAGAAAAAAAAAATAATCACATTCTGCAGAAACAAATAAAATTATAGATGTGTATAACACAAAAAGTATAATATTTTGTATAATAGATTACACGCTAAATTGAAAGATTTCTAAATTTCCTACAAAATGATAAAAAAAAAATATCTGGTGTGTACACTCAGACGACTTTCCTAACTATTTCAGAAAAGTTTTTATATATTTACATATGTTCATGAAGAAACAAAAATAATTGAACTAGATACATTTTCCTGAAAGTTGATCAAACATAAGATTTGAGTACGATTTATATGATAAACTAAAGCAATGTAAACTTCCTAATATTGATGATAAAAAACTTTTTGCCATAGCTTAGTATTGTCAAACAATAATTTCTGTTAAAAGTAAAGGAAATAGTGTAGATTGTGTGATGCGGGCAACAGATTTTCTTACTTTCACTTAGTCATCTTTATTCTCTCATTCACCCCTTTCTGACAACAGGATATGAAACCGTAATCTTACATTGGAAATTGAATAGCTGTAACTTCGTTAATAGTTGTCCAAAATGAACGATTTTTATATGGCTTTGCAGGGAATTTCATTACCTTTCAAACGATAGGCTAAACGACGTATTAAATAGAATTAGCTGTATCTTCGCTAATACTGGTTCGATTCCGAAGATTTATTTTTTGTTTTGTTGGTAATTTAATTACCTTTCAAAAGCTTTATTATAAATTTTATCGTATAATATATACTTAGGAAGTTAGGCCCCATAACATTTTTCTTTCCTTTATAAATTTTTTTCCTGAAATTTTTCGGGAATTTAGTCTATATACGAAAATTGAAAGAACAATGATTAGAACATTACAGAAAAGTTTCATCAAAATCGTTAGAGCCGTTTTTGCGCTACAGTCTATAGAAAAACATGTTTTACATTTATTCCGCGCAAGCTATTGCGCATGGAGCACCGAATTTCTGTCACAGGGATCAGTAGTCAAAACCCTACAAAATAAAAAAAGAAGCAAAAAAATCCGTTCAGTAGTTCCCGAGAAAATCTTGGCAGACTGACAGAGAGACAGACCAATAGCTAAAAATGTGTTTTTCGGACTTACGGGGCTCTGAAACGTATAGATCCGTCTAAAACCGCATATCGGAAATTTGACTCGATTGCAATACTTTCCTTACCTAGTATAGGTAGGAAAGTAAAAAATTATCGAAATCTTTACCGCCCACAAAACTGCTGAAAATATTTTTAACAGCAAGTACTTCTCTATGTCTTCTCTCACAGTGATACAGTAGAATAGTTACATTATGTCAATTCTGTACATTATAATTCAGGTTAGTTTGATATGATTTATATAGTTCAAGTTTAAAATAAATATTAAAGGTTGACATTTTTATTTGTTTCTATAAAAGTTCTGTTTCCGTTAAATAACATAAAAGCCCACAATTATTAATTAATTTGTTTCTCCATTACATTCTACAACTTTATATGTTAGAATTTTTTTTTCTATAACCCCCACCTTTCAACTTACGAAAATATTTCTTCTTTTGTCTCCTTAATAAACTAATTCCTCCATAAGGATGTAAAAAATTTCAGTCAAAATTTCTTTAATGAGTTAGCCGACGTTTCAACCCAAACATATGGGACATCGTCATGGCCATCATTTGGAAGTCGATACAAGAACTCTGATTATATCCCGATATTTAAATACTTTTGATCGAAATGTCGGCTAATTCATTAAATAAGTTTTGACTGAAATTCCTGAAAATTTTGTTTCATCTTCTAATTCATCGGTCGACTACTCACTCATCCCTTATTCCTTCATAATTTTATTTAACCATGTTTCATTATTACTAACAATAAGAGTTATAAGAGAAGGAGTTGATCGGGGGTGCGGTCAAATAAATACTAAATTATAGAAATACTATTATTTAATTATTATGCCGACGTTTCGACATACCTTGCAGGTCTTCATCAGGGCTACAAAAGATACAAAATATAAAAGGTACATGGTGAAAAAAACTAAATGAATTATAAGTAGATATCTGTTATTTAATATCTACTCATAACCAGGTTAATCAATATGAAGCAAATCAATTTCTTCAATTCAGCAAACCAGTAACGCACACACGAAAGCATAACAGGTTGGGTCTAGTAATCAAAATAAATATTGGTTTAAGAATTGCAACATTTCCAAATAATTACTTTTATTTCTTGAAGACATTTTTCGAAATTCTGTTAGGTTCACGTTTTGAAAAAATGGTACAAGTTAGGAAATTAAACGTACGGTCAATCCAGTACATGTAATCGAGTACTGACCTGTTCACCATCTTCCAAATTGCCAATCATAAAAGCTCGTGTTAACACGACTATTTTGCAGGTTTCAAAACCCTGACTGGCCAACACTGGATTGCCATGTTCGGATTTGAATATTCCACCTCCCGTGGTCGAATACATTTTCGGGCGTCTCCCCTCCCCCCACTGGTGCGAAATTCGTTGCTGTTACTAAGATTAGATCTTTTTATAACCGGTCTTTTTATAAGATAAGTGTTTACATAATCATTTTATTTTATTTTTGTTACCATTTTACATTTCTTTTATGTTATTTTCTTAAACGATCTATTTTTACTTTCACTTACCAATAAATTAAATTTATTTTATTTTATTTAATTATTTTTATATATTTAATTACATTTTTATCAAAAAGAAATAAAAAGGTTTTGGGAATGGTGGTGAAAAAAATTACCGGTCAACTATGTGTTAAGTTCGGTACATGTATGGAATGTAGACATTTTTTTTGCTAAAATTCATTTCCATCAATTTACAATAAAGATTTTATAATTTTTTTAATGGTTGAGATATTATTGAACATAGATCCAATCGTAGGAGATTTTAGTTTTGCAAAACTAGGTTCACAATAAACTTTTTTTTTACTTTCACTTAGCTATATATGTAATATATAGTAAGGGAGAGTATTGTGATCGTGACAATTTTCGAATCTGAGTTTTCAACGGAAATACACTTTTAAGGTCTCCTGAGTCCAAATAGCCAAGTTCCGCAAAATGGTCTGTGTGTATGTGACAGGCCTAACTCAAAAAAGAAAATTCGTATGAAAGTGAAATTACATATTAAAGGTTTGCATATACCTGAGATGTTACAGCAACTTTTTCGTCAAAATCGGCTTATCGAAAGTGGCATTTTATATCATCGATGAAACTCATTTTTACTATTTTCTCGAAAACGGCTCTAATGATTTTGATTAAATTCATTATATCAGTGTAAAATTAAGCAGTTTTTAATATTATGTCGGTTTTATTCTCATGTATGTTCTCTAACAGGGCATAAATGGATAATTTTCAATATTAGCTTCCTCTAAAGTACTTTTAATATTTTTTTTATTTGAAACAATTAATTATTTCACATCCATCTCTAATATAAAAAATAGTTAAATATAAAATATGAAAGAATTTGATAATTAACTAAATGAGAAATAAGAGATCGTAACAGGGAATAGTTGTGATGAAGGAACCAGAGGGATACAAGAGAGCGCCCGAGCTAACCCGAGCTCACCCGAACTCGTCCGAAGATTAAAACAAAGTATTAGGATATAGAAGATGAGCTTAATATAATACGGACTCCAACAATATTATGTACATATACGTATGCGGTTTTCCTAAATGTTTTCGTTGGTATTATTTAATATTTAATTGTATAAACATTAAAATTTGTATATATAAGGGTACTTAAACAAATAAAAATATCCAATATATCAAATATAATGTTAATAATTTTTACTTTCACTTCCCCTTTGTCTGAAAATACTTATTTCTGCTAAGAAGAGGGTGATAAGTGAAAGTTGTGTGATGCGCTCATCGTACCAGATTTTTTGTGTATAATTTTATCTCTGACCGAGCCTCCGACCGACTTCTCATATTTTATACTTTTTTTTACAATATTCTCGAAAACGGATCAAAACAGTTTGATTCTGCTGGAAACTTTTATAAGTCATCTTTATTCTTATTAATAGCTGCTTTTCATTCGACTTCTGATACAAATCATTCAGGAAAAAGATACACGTTGCATTGAATTCGATTTTATTTATGTAAACTGAGGGTTGAAATTGTGTTTTAAAAATAAATGTCAAGCTTTGTTTATATGCTACAGAAAGAATCCAATTGAAAAATTATATAACCTCCCGTCACCATACTTCCTGCCGCATATCATGCCATTATATTCTTAATAATTACATTAGTTTTAATTGCTTAAAGGCATTTGATGAAATTGATACTAGACTTTAAATACACTATTTTCTGAATTTCTTTCAACTCTGGTCCAAATCGAACTAGCCGTTTTTAAAATATCGGCTTAACGAGGAAAATAGGTTTGCGCATGCTTAAGCGAAAGTAATGGATGAGACCATCTTGCATTCCCTGACAATTTCATCAAAATTGGATTACAGGTAGAAGAAGGTGATTTACTGATAACATGGATTTTACTGCGGACAGACGCGGAATCAATTTTTTTTTCCTTGAAGTATAAAAGGTAAAACGGAAGGGGATTTTTTTTCAACCTGCCACATGAATATAAAGCTTCCCTACCTTCTGTAGTGAGGAAGTAAACAATCCAAATAAAAAAAAAAAATTGTGAATATTTTACATGTATTACAGAGGATTCAACTTAATTAAGATCACTAACGATGTACGAACTCATGCCACTGTTAATTAGTTGTCAAGTGAAAATAAACTTTAAATAAGCTAAAATTTAAACATTGGTACTTTATGTCTTATTTTATTTTTTACAGGAAGCTGTCCAGCATGATTATAATAGTGCTGTCCTTTTTGGTCTCCTTCATTTCTTCTAAGGAGATTCCAAACTTCAATTTAGGAAGTTTCGAAGGTAGGTTACTTTCTCATCTAATAGGGTAGTTATAAAATGTACATTTTATTACAACTGGTGTTTTTTTCAGATACAGTTGGTTTAGCGAAAGAACACATCCCGAAAAAAGTAAGGGGATTCCTACATCAGGATGTAAAATTAGACTGTCTTCGGCCAGACATGGAGGAAATGTCCAGTGATACTGTGTATTCTTGGGTCTTTTATGTGAGTAAATTAATTTTCTTGAGATTCCATGGCGTCAATGAAATTTCATGTTTCGTTTGTCTTAAAGTTGATGAATTTCAGCCTTCATCTCAAAATGGCGCAGCTGGAAAGGAGCCCGTCAGCTATATTCTCTGTGGTGGTTCGGACTTACCGCCGTGCAATAGAAAACTAATTGTGGAGAAAGTGAACAGTTCTTCGAGTGGGATCTACAAGTGCTCGGTACTCACCGAAAAGGAAAGCGGTCATGTCATGACTTCAAAACCAATCGTTACTTATCTGCTCGAAGTTAAAGGTAACAATTATTGGTACTTCATAATTCAACTTTGCCTTCTGAAGCATTCCATTATTGTTAGGATACTTTTAGCAGATTTTGAAAACAAGTCCTTTAAAAGTTTCAAATAACAGAGAGTAGGTAACTAAACCATCAGATTGAGGCTTCATCCGGACGAAAAATATAACAACACATATACTGGCCTAAAAATGTCAATGGACAGCACCCTGCATTTTATTGCAACATGCCAATAAATGCAAACATTTTATAATTTATAATCGTATTAATGCATTTGCCTATTATTAAAAATATATATATATTTTAAATGTTATAATTTTTTCTAATAAAAAGGAGCCTGTCTATAACTGGTACAAAAGAGTGCCTATTACTGGATATTTGAAAATTTTAAGTGTCTATTTTCCAATTTTTATATGAAAAAATTATATAAAGTGCCTAACTAGCGCACATATTTCGATAAGAGACTAAATTTGCTTACAATTAAATCCATTTGTGAAGATCCTACATAAGAATTAAAGCTAATAAAGTTCACATTAATGTTGAAAATTTTTCTTAAAGTGTCTATTACTGGTACTTAAGTGTTGCAGTAACCTCGTGTGTGGATAATATAATAAATTTTATACTTTTAAATTGTTTTTAAAATAATATCATGTAATCAAATTAACTTTCGCGGGCCGAATTGAAGATGCTTGCGGTCCATAGGTTGGAATCTCCTGCGGTAATAGAAAATGGACATCAAACAGAGCGCTGATGTTATTTGATATTTTGACAGATATTTGTTTTTCTGCTCTGATTTCTTAATTGTTTTTAATTTCGAAATAAATATATACCAACAATTGAGTGTGTGAACAAATTCCATGAATAAAAAGTTGTCCAAAAAATCTAGGAATATTTGGAGAAACTCATGAAAAAGTCGAAAACTTCACTAACCAAAATTAGTAGACACCATGAATAACATATGATTAAAGTAGACTTGTAAAACCTAAACGTATAAATTTAAAAGAAAATTATAACCAAATTCTCAAGTTCAATCAAGTCAAGTTCTCGGAACATGACCTTCACCTATACTCTCTATCATAGAGAAACTCATCTATCTAAATACTTGCAATATTAATATATAATAATAAATCCAGCCCGTTCGCGTTCGTTATAGAGAGCGTCCGGTATCTGGAAGAGTGCTTAATACTTTATTTAGATTATTTAAAGTTTGACCAGGTTTATAAAATTGTAAGTTTTACTGTGTATTGTGGTCTCCCTAGCCCATAATAGTTGAGACATAATAACGAAGCCAGTGAATTATTCCATTTATAGCTTTGTGTTGGTACTTTTGTACACTGGCGGATCCAGCGGGGAGGGCACTACCACCTTTCTCCTGGAAAGTGGGAAAAAATTTTATCTTGAAAAAAGTAATGAAACAACCAGCACATTTATTATTATTTTAATTGAAAAGTAAATTGTATTAAATAAATAATTTTTACTTTCACTTAACTCTATATGTAATATATTGTAAAGAAAAGTATTGCGTTCGTGAAAAATTTCGAATTTTTATTTATACTTTGTACTCAAAAACACTTATAATTTAAAAAGTCTGAATACTCTAAATATTCTTCCAATGCTGGCGAAACATCTTAATGTAGTTGCTAGAATGCTCTGGTTCTTTGCAAACCATTTTTAATTGAGTTTGTATCTTGATTTAGACTCATAAACATCAATTATCCAATTGAGGAATTTTTCCCGCCATTATATGGCAAAATACTAGAGGAAACAAAAAAGCTTTTTTTTTTGTCCACTTTTTCCTCTTCTTTTAGCCTATACCGAGTTTACACCGGGAAAAGAGTGAAGATGGGAATTAATTTCAGGATTAAAAGCTCTTGGGCACGGGAATGCGAACTCGTAATTACTTTATCAATACTTTGATTCATCTGGTTGTTGGGCAACGGGAGTTGTACACACGCCTTAAAATACACATTCCTTTTCATTTATATATATATATATATATATATATATATATATATATATATATATATATATATATATATATATATACATAAACCTTTTGTGTATGGAATTCACCTGTTTGTGCTAGTGGCTCCTCCCCCTAAGAATATTCATGGAGTCTGCCAATGTTGCAGTAACTTCTCTTTGATTTTTCTCAAATACTTTTATTAAATCCTCTCTGTAGCTTTATCCATCTTTTTCTTACACCTTGATTGATTTCAACTCATTGGTACTCTATAGAATGTAGATAGTGAAATTGGAGGATTTTCCATTCCTGAGTTTTAATTAAGTGTGTTTATGATTTTTTTTATTGTTGGAAGACAAATATTTCTTCTAATCGTCTAATATAGTTTCTTAAAAAACTATATATCATAAAAATTTATTATTTTTTGATATGGTCTCCAGTGTTGTATCATAGTTTTTAAATGCAAAACATTGTGGCATTTATATAACACTAATATTAATAAATATTAGTTTATACAAATTAAATCAAGAGCCTAAAGCTTTTTCATTTCTTGAGAAAAGAGGATAAATTATAACCATTGACTATAAATGGCAAAGTAATTGTTTCATGTTGTTATTGTTTTATAATATTTTAGAAACACAAAGAATAATGACATTGTTTCTATGCACTCTGTATGACATTAATACACTCTGTATTATCACAACTATTTTGATGACCTATAAAAAACAGACTTACATATAAAGGTTGCGATTGGCATACAGTCTAGCCAGAAAAATGTTAAAATAAAGATTTAAAACTATAGGAAACATTTGTTTTATCTGTTTTTGAAAAATTAATGTTTTTGCTTTTAAATATTCAAAATTAAGTCCATTATTTTATTGAATACAATTTAAAATTGTTCAAGGATAAGTTGGATGGGGGAAGGATACGTTGGAAGGTCTCAGATATGTTTTAAAATTAACTAGTTCATATGCACACTTATAACATTTATTTACCCAAGTCTTCTTAATTCAATGTATAGGAGTTTTGACCTTCTTTAACTGCCCACTTACATTAGTAAGATTTTATTAGAAAATCTTTCTATTTTCCACAATTGTGTAGATCACTCACTATATATTGTTTAACGTTCTTTGAAAATGGTTCATTTTTTGTAATAGAATAGGAAGTGACGACAGCAGCAACATAATCACATTTATTTTTTTCTCAGTGTCCCTAAAATGGGTCAATCCAATGACACTACAAAGATCCTTTTTTGGACTGTTAAATTTCCTCTTCCTCAGATAGAAGAAATGAATTTTTCCTCAAATAAATTATCATGTATAACTAACTCTTCACACATGAATATCATTTATTAATAGCCTAAACAAAATGTGAACAATTTTCAATAAAAAGTACCACTTTATTTTCTTTAGCAGATCATGAACCGAAATTTTTGGAAGGACCACAAATGGTCAATGTTTATGAAGACACATCTGCTACTCTTGTCTGTAAGGTCCAGAGTGAAATACCAATTATAATTAAGTGGTTCAAAAGAGATAATAATCCTAAAGTCAACGTCACCGTCATACATTATAATAATAACACCTACAGGGTAAACATTATTTAAATTTTATATTATATGATATATATATATTTATTTTTTTTATTGATTATTATTTTATTCCAGCCATTAAAGAATGTCAAAGAGTACGCTGAGGGAAATACTTATGTGAGTGAGCTGGTGTTCAATAAAGTGTATAAAAATGATTCTGGCATTTATGCTTGCAGTTTTGTAAGCCCTACAGGTCAAATAATATACAAAGAAGGAAGTATCGGTGTCCAACAAACTCTTGGTGAGTTTGGGAATTATGTGAAATAATTAGTTCTCTTTTTTTTTTATAAAGGTGCCAACCACTAGGGTCATTATCGTAGTTTTGTCTTTAAACAGGCTTGTATTAAATAGGTTAATATAAGGCATTAACCCTTTTAATGTCCTGTTTTAGGAAATTACTGAAGGTATTCTCATCTATAGTATCGGATACAGGGAGGAGGAGGTAATTTCCCCTTCCCAAAATGACCATTGAGTAAACAAATATGACTGTTTAAAATATACCTACTAGAACCAGTACCCATAGTGTTGTACCAATAGTTGCAGAGTTGGAAGGCTTAAGCTGTAGTGTGTAGATTGAATAATCTAAGACACAAAAAAAAAAAAAAAATTGAACCTGCAAATAGAGACACATGGCAGTTGTTTTTTTTCTTGTTGGCATAAATGTGTTTATTTTATTTTTATCCAATCAAGATTAAGTTTTTTCATACATCATATCATTGATATTGCAAAGTCATTAAGTAACAGTTCATAAAATTAAATCAATTGGTACTTTGATGAATTTTTCCTCTAATAAATCAGAACATTGTGCTTTACAATATTGGGGGGCCCAGTATATGCCATATGCCCGGGAGCCCTTTTCTTGTGATATATAAAAATAAATGTTCTGTGGAGGAAATACTTGTGAATAAATAAATATATATACATACAGTTTGATGAGGGGGCCGGTCTCGCACCTTCTCTCTCTCTCTCTCTATCCGCTGTTCATCCAGGGTCCTGGAGCTAGTGTAGCCGAAGGGCTGTAACTCTTGAGGTTTGGTAGAGTAAGTAGGCTGTAAGGCGTCAGGTTCTATACTTCGTTCGCTAGCATCTGACCCTTAGGCGTAGATAAGGCCGTCTAAGAGAGGGGGTAGTGCAGGAAGAGACCGGGGGCCCTCTCTCCCTTCCCCTCCCGTTTTATTCATACAGGTCAAATTACAATATAATAAACAATAAAATTTTGGATGTAAATCCAACAGTGCTCTTAGTTAACTATTTCTGATATATAATAGGATTTGCCTGATTTTTAAACACTTATTGTGTTTTTGCAATCATAGATAATGTTGAAATTTACAAACACTTATAAAGAAGTTCATTTCCATCAAGAATATACTTAATGATTTTTTGGAATAAACATATAGGACGATATAATTATTAATTTAAAAAATTTCTCAGCAATACTGAGTAGATACATTTCAATATTGAATGGGTTGAATATAATAGAAAAACAAACTGCTAGTAATCAATATTTTAAAAATGCTAAATTTAATTTCTTGACATCATAAAAAATTTAAACTAATACTACCATTTTTTCAGTTATATTTTCTTCACTGGTTCAGGATAAGTGGGAAATATTTGCTGCTGTTCTTGTAGTGATAATCCTGGTCATTGTAACAGTTCTATGCATGGTCATCCTCTGCTTAAAAAAGATGTGGGAGAAGAACGATGATCAACCTCTCGATATCAGAAGGAAGCCATCGAAGAGTGACCCTGATGGGAATGAAACATCAGAATATGAGCACGTTGTTCTTTAAACATAAAAATCAACTCTAATTGTTGTACCTGTGATTTAGTTATTTTTTGTAATTTCATATTTTTTAAAACTAGGATTAAGCTCCCATTTCAAATGAAATATGAAGAAGTACAAGACTCAGAACATTTCAAGTTGTTATAACTCTCTTTATTTTTGTTTTTTTCTGAAACTATTACAAAAACAATAAGTAGAAGCTAAATTACTAAGTTATGCAACTTCTTTTTTTTCATTTATAAACAAAACAAATATTTATAATTCCCTTTATACATAAATTATTTAATTGCTATAATCTTCTAAAGCATTGAAGTGTAAAAATGTGGAAAGTTAATATAAGAACTTTTGTATTAAATTTTTTTGTTTTATTTGTACATAAAGAATGTTTATCTTATATAGATTTTTTTTATTTGTAAGGGGAAAAAAAAGCAGTTGGTAAATAAAAACATGTATTACCATTTTTTTTTTCACACTAATTTTTATAAACTAAATAACAAATCAAATTGTACTACATCCCTGTTTTACCAAGGGGAATAACAATCCATTGGAGAAAAAAAATTTTAACTTTTTGAAGTTAAATATTTTAAATTAGTTAATAAATTAATTTATTAGCATTTAATGCTTTGACTAATAAAGTAAAAAGCACACTGGTAAATAGTTGACTGTAAATGAACTTTTTGGTTGAAAAATGTACACTTTCTTGTCATCACAAAATGGGAGTACTTTCCCGAATAACAAAATAAATAAATAAATAATAAATTAAAAATCTTGGAAAAATTAAATATAGGAAAAAAGAAAACAAAAGTTTATGGAACAATTATTCCAGACTTTATATAACTCAATTATACTTGCAACATTGTGGTCAGGAGAACATACAAATTTCAATCAGATGTAAACACTGTATACAAAAATTAACAAGCAACATCACATAACCTTGATGCCAACAATAAACAGATCAATTGGTCTTTTATCAAATTTTTACATAAATCTAATTAAGAAAAATAATTATAAACAGCAGGGGCTATTTAAGGTTATTTAAAGCAAATACTTTCTACCGTGATTAATAAAATTCATAATTGCCTATGAAATTCAGCCAATCTATCTCAACATGGAGGACTTTGATAACTAATTATTTTCAAAGCATGCTGGAGAAGACAATATGACATACATAGAGTTAATATAAATTTTATTGAATTATGTAATAAAATTCTTTTTTTTTCTTTTTATAATTTTACTAAAATTTGAGCAGTGAATAATTATGATGCATTTTTGCCTTGTTTTATTAATATTTTTAGACATTTATTTATTTTTTAAATTAATTGATCCTAAGTTAGCCTTTATAAAAGATGGCCTACAGATTAGAACATAATATAATTTGAAAAGTATAGTGTACAGTATTTTTTCTAAATAATTATTGCACAAATTCACAAACATTATTAGAATTACAATAAATTAAAAACTAATATAACACTTTATTTAAATTGGCTATCACTATATACAATCATTGTATCGAGAACAACGGTAGGAGGATGGGGCGGTCTCGTTGTTTTATATTTACATAGAATTATTTTGTTCATTGATGAAAAAAACAGAAAAAAAAGAAAGACAAATAAAAGAAAGAAAAAAGAAAAACCAATCAGATAATCACTTTCCCCTCTTTTAATTGATCTAAGAAGAGACATGGTTTAAGATAATAAGACTATCACAGAAATTTGAATTTTTCTTATAGCATTAATATTTCCTATTCATCATCGGTATCACCATCACTTGAGAAGTCTTGAGCTGGGATTGTTCGACTGCTGTATGGCGTTCTTGACATTTGTCTGTAAATCAAAATACAATTTAAAATTACCAAGAGAAAAAAAATTTTTATTATTCAAAAAACTTTAGTTCTCTAAATGTTGAATTGAACTGAAATGTGAAATTTCATCAAAATACTTCAAACTTAGATAATAGGAGTAGAGGCCATTTTTTTAAAAGAAAAAATCTAAATTTCTAATTCTAAAACTAGATAGTTCCTAAAATAATAGGGTGTATAAAAAAAAATGACCGTTTTATCAAATTCAAGATTTCAAAGGACTAAATATTGAAATCCTATTTAATACTTACCAATACTTAATCATCCCTTTAGAGCATTCTCTAAGATTGTTTAATCCCATTAGACATCTTCAAAAAAATGCTCAATTTAGTTATTTGTTTCAAAGAAGAAATATGACAGTGTACTACGAAATTCTCATAATTTTAAGGCATTAATGGAAAAAATTTCTTAGCCACTGAAGCAACTCGTGAAATTATTAAATAAGAAGGGAAAGATTTCCTTGGCTAGCGCACTCCATAGCGTTGGTTTGAAAAAATTAGCAGTGGAGATACGACCTTGGAAAGGAAGAAGGGCTACAGGTGACCATTAATGGATATTGATGATTTTCTGCAGGAAGCTATTGAGTCAAATCCATCCGCAACTACTCGTGAACTTGCCAAGGAGTGTGGTGTATTGAAAGATACTGTTAGTCGCTATCTACTCTCCATTGGGAAGTAGGTAGATACTCTATTGAGTATTTACAATAAAATACTATTTTAATATATAGTATTTATTTGATCGAACCCCTCCCCTCCCTCCCGACAAACTCCTCATACTACGAAACATCGATAATGAAGTTGTAAATATGAATAAATAAAAAATTATTAAAGGAAGATTTTGATTTACAATTTATATAATATAAATATTAAATATACTTCCATTTATGTTTTTATTGATCTTTCTTAAGTATATTAATTTTACATTCACTTATTTATGCAATATATCAATTATGTGATATCAATGCTTAATTTTAATATTACATCAATATAACAAAATTCTTAGTTGATTGATATTGGATATTTTTTTTTAATATTTATTATTTTGTTCTGTTTCAACAATTTATTATTATTTTTTGAGAATCATCAAAACAAATAAACTTTTGATTATAACAAATAAGTTAAACAAACAAATTCAATCTGAAATTGTATCATCTACCACAGACAATGGCAACTTTAAAGTGTTTGAACCAATTTTTGTTGAAAGTGGATATTCTATATATGTTGTATCTCCATAACCATTGATGTTAACAAAAAAAGGAGTATAGAATCATTTTTAAAGATTTTTTTGAAGTTCTTTAATTTTTTATATGATAAATAATATATGATATACCACACGTAGAAGTAATGACTCTCCCACATCTACTTTAACAGGAATCACAATGTAGTTTTCCAGTTACCCAGAAGTTTGGTCCATGGGTGGTTTGTCTCAGGGAAAGAAACGTAGCGCATGTTGATGGATTTAGACCAAATAGTTACTACTGTCCTTGAACCCAAGTAAGTCCATGGGAAGGCCATTGCCAGATTAACCACAAATTTCTTTATCCTCATTCGCACTGTGTAGAGATTAACTTAAAGGCATTGGTTCAATAAATAAATTCAAAATTATTCTTTAGATATGTCACTTAAAGAGAGAGGTTCAGGTTCTACACAAAATATTAAACGGTATATAATTTTATAATATTACAAAGGCTGACTGAATCCAAAAATTTAACACCCCATGAATATTCTTTGAATAAATACTAATCTCCGTAAGTAGGTTCCATTAAACTAATCTCCGTAAGTAGGTTCCATTAAAACTAAAACCTACACGAGACTTAATATTGTCCTTTAATTAAATAACCATCTGCTAAAATAAATAAAATTAAAAAACTGACCGAGAGCCACATTTTGTGGATTTAATTTGTATTGAGCGCAATTTCAGCTGGTATCAGCAACATACTTACGGATTCACTAAGCTTTTTTTATTTATTTAAATAATACTTACGCTAAACTCCTGTAATGGTTCAACCACTCTTCTAACATCTGGCCAACTAAAAGGGGCCTTCCTTGTGACCTCTGCTGTGCTACCAAAATACCTCCTTCAGTAACGTTTACATCCAGCCATTGCCTCAACAAGTTCTCTTCACTACCAACCTGGAACAATCGCAGATTATTATTTTGTTGTTTGTTATTCAAAACATTGTTTTTTTTTAATAAAGTGACTGACATAAGAATATGTAAAATTTAATATTATTAATAGTTTTTGAACAAGGATTAATCAAGCAGAAACAGATAAAAAACTGTAATAACTACAACTAATCTAAATATTATACTCACTTCAGCTTTGGTGAGAAAGTGAATAGGTAAAAGTTTTCGATCTTTATCAACTAATGGTAGATAGCAAACTTGAATACTTTCTTCTTTGGCACTCTGCTCCGGCTGAGGAGATTCCATTGGGACGAGGGCAGAGAAATGGCCGCGGGTATAACCAAGTGCCACCGGAGACACATTGCAAAAACTAGGCTCCCAGAGAAGGGGCAAGTAAACTCCTAGAAATAAAAATCACCTTTAAGTTCTCATTATAAAAGGTTATAATTGTTAATTAATAATAGTTTCCATCAAAGTTACTTATGAAATGTATGATTTGAAATAAAAATATATAAAAAGCTTCATCCATTAAGAAAAAAAACTATTTTAAATATAACAAGGAAATAAAATCTATTATATCTCAATACAAAATAAAACAAATACAACAGGATTTTTAGCAGTATAACTTCAATTAATTATTTAGAACTAAATATAATATTTTGAAGTGACACTGATATATACTATAACCAAACAATAGATTTTCATGAAATTGCACATTTCATTCACTTGTATTTAAAACTTCAAACCAAATTATCTATCCACTACATAATCTGTAGAATAAGATACTGAAATTTGATATTGGAAATTTTGACATTTTTAAGCTGAATGGTCGAATGTCTTGAAACTAAACTTTAATTATGCACCTATGCGTGGAGTCCCAGGTGTCAGCGGACAGTTCAGAGAAGTGCGGCAGAGAATATGAAACACCAGCCCATGTGCTGAGAAAATGTCCCAACAACTCCCTCCTCATAACACATCGTCACCATAGGGTCAAGTTCGAGTTGATGCGACTCTTTAGGGAAAGGAAATTTGTCTGCTTTGACAAGGTCTATTGCATCGATAGTGAAGGCTCTACGAGATATGCTGATATTGTCGCATTTCCTAATACAGGAAGGACAGCACTGATCTTGGTTCCAACCATCTGCTTTGAGAGATAACACACATAAAAACTGTGTCCAAAATGGCTAAAACTTTGGTGGGTAACTGTCAACAGATGAACAACGAAATTCATTTGCTTTTATTTATGAGTGCTACTATCTTCATGTTGCGGTCGGAAACTTTTCAGACCACGCTCGTATATACTAACCACTTCTGTATATTTATATATAAGTTTTATTTATTGTCCTATGGATTAACTAGTATGCTGTGTGTCTAGCAACCCAATATAATTGGGCAGCAAGCTTTTATATTTTATATAAAAATAAAGTGTTTCTCTCAAGGATGTCAGTCATTATGTTTAGGATACTCCAATAAAAGTAAAACTTTATAATTATTAGTCATTTCCAATAAATTTTTCTTTAATTATTAAATAAAACAGGAGAAGCCTTCTATTCATGAACAAGAAAACAAACAACACATTGCATAACATCTAATACCATCACAATGTTACTAAAAAAAATTCTGCTTCTCTCAGGAAAGCAGGAGGGAGACAACCACAAGCAGTTCAGATCTGTGGCCCCAGTTATCAAAACTGAACTAGTCACTTTACAACGGTATGGCCCATAAATATATATTTCACCATCCATACCATAAAGTAAAAGTTCTATAAAATTACTTGTTTCTTATTTTAAGAAATAATGATCACAACATTGTGTTTTACAGAGTATGATAATAGGACTACAGTTTATTATTTAAATTTACCTTCAAATCCTGCATATCCAAGGTCCTCTCCCCTGAAACTCTTGACAAACTTGACTCCGTACACTATGATAGGCCTTCTTAGGACATGAGCCAGGGCAAAAACATGTAACTGCTGTAAGGACGCTCCCTGCTGAGTTGCTCGCTTCACTAGCGAAGCCCAGTCTTCTTCCCATTGTGATTCCGAGAGGGTGAACTCAAGCTGCCTGGCTTGGCTGGTTTCGTATTCAAACCACCTTGGGTAAAGGCTGAAACAAATAGAGCAGACAAATTAAAAATCTAACGAAATAACATGCATTAATTAAATGGAACATAAAACAATAAAAAAATTGCCAAGAAAGTAATAAAAACTGCATTAGGTGAAGTATTTAGGACTCATTGTCCAAGTAACAAATTTAGATGTTTTTGAAAATCAGAGTTAATTGATAAATGAGGCAAAGTATGGCCAAACAATTTTTAAAAAAGTCTAAAATTTGTATATATGATATTAATAACAGACATAACATTTCGTATGACTTTACTTCTTGTACAGCAGCCCTGAACTTCAGGACGAAATGTAAAAATAAAACTATTTATTTTTTACAATTTCAATTTGACTGAACAACTCAACCATCCTTCTCTTCATTTATTCACTACAGTCAACCATAAACCCACAATTACTGATATTAATAACAAATAATTCTTATCTATAAGCCTTTCAACCCCACGGTTTAATCAATCAGCGAAAAAATAGGTAACGATTTTTTGAGTGAACAGCTCGATTTATTTTTAAGTTAGATATCTTAAATTTTTGGTGAGATCCCCTGAGTGTTTTGAAAGAGAAGTGACATCACAATTATGTGTTTGGATTGGTTGGGTGTTCCCTAAAAGGTACGCAACAAAAGTTTTGAGCGAATGGCAGGATCAATTTTTTTAAGTTTGATGGCTCAAAATATTCATTGAGATTCTGTGAGTGTTTTGAAACAATTATAGCTCAAATTATGAGAAACTACAGTGTAAAGTGTATGAATTTGCTAAAAGGTATGTAACGATTTTTTGAGCGGATAGTTAGACCGATTTTTAACTTTGACAGCTGTAATTTACTCTGTGGGATTCCATGATGTTTTAAAACAAAAATATTGAAACAAAATTTATTATAGTTTAATTATCTAGATCAGTAACGGATCCAGCCAGGGGCCGTTCTCCCCCCCCCCCCTCTTCCTCCTCTGGAAGTTAGAAAAAAGTTCCAAAAATAGCTATTTAAAGAAAAGAGAAATATGGGGAAAATTCATCCTGATAAACAAATTTGCTAATGTAATATATATAAAAAAAAAATATTTTCCTGACCAGTACTAGTGAATTCTGCCGGAGGAACCCTCCCTCCCCCCTGGATGGTGGACAAAAAAAAGAGGACTATAGGGAAAATTAATCTTCAATGAAGAATTTTCTAATGTAGTATTAAAAAAATCTGGTATGCGCATCACTTACCACCCTCTTCTTAGCATAAATAATATTTTCAGACAAAGGGGAAGTGAAAGTAAAAATTATAGATCCTACATATATTTACATTTCATTGTGGGTATTTTTATTTGCAACATTAATCTTATATAAACTAAATTTTTATTTTCACTGTAATCTATACAATTAAATATAAAATAATAGCAGCAATAGCATTTATGAAAACTGTATATGTATATATACATCAGATATATATAGTCAGAGTCTGTATTATATTAAGCTCAAGTTATGTATGGAAGTCTGTTCCAATCTTTCAGACGCGCTTCCTTTGATTCCTTTATTACAATTATCCGTTACACAATTTCTTATTTCTCCTTTATTCAATTATCGATTTTTTTATATTTTATACATATTTTTACTGCGAGGGCTTGAGCTCTTGTCTCAGTTTGTTCCTACTAAGTCCGAACTCGAATCTCGCAGGTGAAATACATGATGGAGGAAAACTAATTTTTTAAAAAATTAACTTTGTTTATTCTTTCGAGCAGCCTTTTATTCGATTGCAAGAAAATACGGTTTTTCTCCCGGATCCAGTTTTTAATCAGTTCTAATAGATCTGGACCGATTGCAATCTTCAACAACTATAGTCTCCTTGTAGATTCATTGCAATTCATAAAACTTGTCACAATAATAATTTGTAAATATTTCTCATTACGAAGGTACTAATTATTTGATCTCCAATATGATCGGCATCTGAATATGATGAATCGGAATTTATTCTAGTTTTTTCTCTTAGAAGATTCATTTCTAACCTGCAGGGCCATTTATAGTAATCTGTCTCAGATTTTGACAAATTTGGTAAAAATTAATGTTCGTTGACCATGATTATCAACCACAACACTTAATCAAATCATTAAGTTTAAATACTTGTTCAACGCACAATTTAACTTTCTTTAATTTCTTAAAGAAGACATTTTTCGCTTTGAAGCACTAGAAAGATAGATAGATTAATAGATGAAAAAAAAAAAAAATCAGTTAAATCTGGCTTTTTTGGCTATAATAACTTTAACAGGTGACCCGTGTTAGCAATTTCGTTTTTTACATGTCTAAAGTTTAGACTCTAAACCCATATACTGGGTGTCCCATTAGTAGAGGGAAATATTTAAAGGAGTGATAGCAGAACTCAAGAAATACAAAAAAGTTTATATAATCAATGGTTCAATTTTCAGCAGGAAAGTAGGAAATTAAGGAGAGGGGCAGTGGTGAAAAAATTCCTGGATCCGCCACTGATCCAGATTATTAATTGATTTGAAATTATATATGTAATGAAAATAAATATTTAATAATTTAAAGACTAGAAATGTTCAAATAATTTATTTAAGTAAAAAATATTTCAATTTAAAACGTGACTATATAATCCATCTTAAGAGAAGGAAAATGATGTATAACTACATAAAAATGTAAGTTGGTTGTTAGTATCCATGAATATTGAAACTTTGTGAAGCAGTCGGGTTACTATGCTTCCCTTAAAGATACTATTTCACTAGTACTGCCCACGGCCACAAGAGCCATTCCTTACTACCAACCGTTAATTGCTTGTCTATTTCTCTAAAACTGCTCACCATCATGGCCAAATTCTATAGATTTAGCATCCTAGTTTGAAATAATTTAAAATAAAAATGTTTGCCTTAGATTTAATGGTTTTATTTGTATTGTAAGGACAGTAATACATATGATGGCGGGCGTTTGATCTCATTTAATTAATACAGCCATTCTTTCAGATAATTAAGTTGAACAACAAGGTTAGGTTATGGCTGTACTGTAAAATGTAAACAGTTATCTACATATTAATGCCATCATCATCCATAAACATGAATGATGTTTATTATAATATTTTGAATGGAAAATATAAGCCTCATATTAGAAAAAAATGTTACAAAATATTATTTTAAGTATTGAGGATGTATCTCTGATTTTAAATTTATTACTTATTATTAGTATGATTATTTCAGTTATTAATATCATATATTTGAAATGAAACCATAGCACACAATAATTTACCATTTAATCAATAGGTGATCAGCAAATCAGGAATTTAATTAAAAAATTCAAATTGATTTTTCAATATCTAGAGATTTGAGTATTTACCTGAGGTTAAATTTTTTTAGTTATTAATTTATTTAATATCCTTTTGATTTAGGTATACTTGAATTCCTCTGTAAAATACTTTTGGTGTAATATATAATCTTGTTACTTCAACCTTTAAAAACCGATTTACTAAGTTTTATTTCAATTTAAAACAATTTTTCATTTAATTTTGTCTGGTTTCATGAAAAATACAGGAAATGAAATGTGAAAAAGTGATTGTTATCATGAAAACTTATTTCTGAAATGATATCATAACCAATAACCCCTATACCGTCAACAGTTTCACTGTTTGGGAGCGGTCAGAAAGAAGCAGTATAGTAGAGATATGACGTTATACCTAGACGGCCGACATTATAATTACAACTTTTTTTTGTTAATTGTAACCTGAAGGCAAAGTTGAAGAAGAAACAAAATATAATGTCAAGCTTGTAAACTTATTAACTAATAATTAACATTGACCATCAATTTGAATAAATAGACTAATAGGTCATATGGGCAATTTATTAAATGTCCCAATATGAAACTATACCAGTATCAACTTAAAACTAGTGATTAAATAATCAGTAATTGCGATTTTACCAACGAAAATGCATGATTAGTACTAGATTAAATATTTAATTATAAACAGAACAAATTATAAGTTAAAGCAATTTTTTTCACTCTCAGTCTATATAGAAAACATCAATAATTGAAGACTCACAGATGTCCACCATGAGAAAGTGAATCAGACAAGGCCCTCCTAAGAAGGTTGTCTCGGTCAAAGACACCCCAAGTGACCTGCATGAGGGAGTCGAGAAGGCAATCCCCCTGAGACCGGTTCCAGAGGGCGTGAAGCCTGGACCCTAAGTGGACGCTAAGCTCAATTGACCAGTTGATAACAGCTGGCTCAGTCTCTAACTGCACCTGCACATCCTTATCAAGCAGCTCATCAAACAGCTGTTCCTGCACTGCTCCAGGTAGGTCTTCTATTTCTAAAGGGCATAATGTGTTAGATTAAAAAAATAAGATAAAAAAAAAAAAATGTCTACCAAGTAAGGTCAGTATAGCTTCCTCACCGTTTTCATTGGCTAAAAAATATCTATATTACAAGATCTAACATTTTTCGTATGAGAATAAAATCTTTGGGAGAAGCCGTTTTCGGAAATTCAGCAATCCCTCAACATGCACAGGTTTGATATTCACGAGTTTGTACATTGAATACTAAAATATGAAAGAGTTCTGCATTTAAAGATTGCATATTTGATGAATCGTGATTAAAAAAAATTTCATTGCATACTGAACATTAATATCACTACTGTTAGTGCAAAAGACCATATATAAAAATTGAATGTTTATAGGAGAGAAAAAAACTAATTGTTTCTTTATGATTTATTAGTATAATTTCATATTTTATTGGTCTCTCTCTGCTATTTTACATTGTACTAGACTGCTTATATCAGTTGCGAACTACAAAATATCACCTTTAACATACATAGAATGAAAGTTGAAAATATTTATACATGACCTTTTGCACTAACAGTAGTGATATATACTTAATAGGAAAATCCAACTTTTTGTTTGTTCGGAATTAACTCTGATATAAAAATATGTGTGAAATTCACACACCTTTGATATTTAAGGATGAAATCGAGAACACGACGAGCTAGTTGAACTCCCATAGAAATAATCACAATAACAAATAAGTCTTTTTTTATATACAAAACAGAGTAAAAATTAATTTAAATTTACTGAAAATTATTTTCTACCAATTTAAATTATTGCCAGTTAATTTAAATTTACTACCAAACAATACAGTATAAATTAATTTTTTGAATAATACCTTAAATTTTATAATCCCATAACAATATTGTAATAACCTAACTCTCACTCCATATGATCACTGCCTTCCACATTTCACAGCCATTATATTGATAACAATTATTTATATTAATTTTAATTATTAAATGGAATTCAATGAAATTGATATAATTTAATTTCTATACTACTCTCCGAATTTCCTCCAAGTTTGGGTCAAATCGAACCCACAGTTTTCAAACTATAGGCATGTCAAATAATAAATTTCCTGATCCGAAAGGGGAAGTGTTATATTTTGGGTTAGTGGGCGGAATTTGATCAAATCCATACATACTTGATTATCTGTTTGCCAATCCCTAACTTCCCTCCAAATTTGAGCCAAATGGAACAGAGGGTAGAGAGATATACACGTATCAAGGAAAACAGGTTTGAGCATATTTAAGAGAAAGTAGTGGACAGAATTTAATAAAATTAACACTACATTATTTTTTCACCAATATCTACCTTTTATACAACTTTGAGCCAAATTGAACGAGCCCATTCTGAAATATTGGCATATCTAAAAAAATACGTTTGCACGTGCATAAGCGGAAGTGCTGGATGGAATTTGATAAAATTGATATGGGACCATTTAGGCACCAATTCGCATGAAAATCGGATGAATGGTACTAGGTGATATACCCATCACATCAATTTGACTACTGACAGACAGACAGACACTGAACCAAATTTGATCCTTGATATCTGAAAAGTAAAACACGAGAGGAAATTTTCGATTCTGAGCACAACATTTTTTTTAACCTTTCGCACGAACATAATACTTTCCTTCCTTCGGTAGTGGAGAAACAAAAAATAAAAAAGAAAGGAAATATGAAAGGTCTTCATAGAATGTTAATTCCATCCAATTGTGCAATGTTTGTCTCGGCAAAATGTTAAGGATATATAAGGATGCCATCTAACCTTGAAACCTTCATATACTTCACATCAAATAAAGAGGTCTAAGTCAATGGCTTTGTCATCAGGAACTTATATAAAAGCAAATAATTATAAAAAGATTCTAAAATAAAGTGCTTAATCTACTGACGCACAGTTCATACACAACCATAAACAGACAATTTTCTAGTCCTTACATTATCCAAAAACACAGCTTATTCACACTAATAAATATAAGCCTTAAGAAATAGTATGCTTATTCTATCTATAACTTATTTAATCAAATCTGAAAATAAAACACAGAATAGCAAAACAATGGAAATAATGCTTAGATACCAGCAGAAAAATATTTTTTAAATTATGGAGAAGTATCAAAGTATCATAAATTAAAAAAAAAAAAACAACTAAAATTGAAATTGAATCGTTACTTAAACGACAAAAGCAAAGCTATATAATTTTATAATAAAATACACCTAATTTAGTTATATATAGAAGGGATTATTTGTTACCTGCTGGTAGCATAAACGTAGTAAATTCTGTAACATATGGGAAAGGTACTGAGCGTGAATGTTTGGTATTGAAGGTGTTAGCAGCATGCCTTCGAATTGAAGTAGCAAGTTCTGGAGCTATATACGAGGGTACTCTCTTCAGGCCAGGTCCACCACCATCAATACTTTCCACGAGCATTGCAAGAATATCTTCTCTCTTAAACCTTAACAATAATTATTATATATTAGGAAAGCAATATACACAACATCATTTATGAACAGACAATATCAGCACCATCATTTATGAAATAGTTCATTATCTCAAAGATACAATAGGATACTAATAATTCTATTTTCGATATCGTCCCTAAATTTAAAAGTTGCATGAAAATGACTGGATATGATTATAAACAAGGTCAAGACAAAGTAAATGGTATCTAAAAATACCCAAGGCAAGCTGGATTGAGTGAAGTTTAATTACTTAAGTTTTCCTACATGTTTAAATGAATTTGTTACCTATAACGGATTACAAAAACTTCAAATATTTGAGAGAAAAATAATTCATGGAATCAAGGTCCTATAAAGGAGAAAGACCAAAGAACAAAATATATGACCATACAATGATATAGATATCAGAAAATAAATAAAATCAGGCAAACTTAAAATAATATTTAATTAAAAGTAATTTTAACAAAACTGACAAGAAAAAGGAGATAATACTAAATAAAATAAATGTTGATAAAAAATAATTAAAGTTACCTAATAGCTAAATGGACAAGTGTATGACCAGGATCAAAAGCTGATGGCCTGTTGAGGAGGGACACTTCAGAGGGAGTTAGTTGCCTCGCAGGGTCCCCACCAGCGGACAGGTAAGCACCAACAGGCCCAACATCACCCTGCACAACCCCCATGCAGGCATTAAGCCATGTCCAATCAGCATTTCGCCTACGCCTCTCATATTCATAATTATTTGCTGTTCCTGCAAGGTCATCTCTTCTTGAATTGGACCTAAAAAAAAAAAACTTTAATATGCAATTGATACAAACAACTAAAAAAAAAATTAATTAATAAGTCATAACAAACTAATAAGTTTCGACTCACTGATTCTATTAACTTTGACAAAAATGAATAAAGATCAGGAAGCTAGTTGAGAAAAGACACTTAATAAAAAAAAAAAAAAAAAGACACTTAATAAACAAAATTAATAAAACCAAATACAATTAAAGACAATGGACAAGATGAAAGAAGTAAGATGTGCTAGGATCTCAAGTATTTCAATCTACATTGAGTATAAAAGCTTGAAGATGCGTTTTCATGATTCGAGTTTTTTACTCTCAAGAGTGATAGAAATACTCTCGAGAGTAAAACTCACAAGTGTAAAAGTCTCTCAGAGTTCTTGCCATAAGCAGAAGAGAGGCATCATGAGAGTTATAGATATGAAAGTTACACTCGCTGTAAATGTTTTACGATCCTCTCAAAGAGTAATATCAATAGTTCAAAACAGAATAAGGCAATCCTTGGAGAGTTCAAACATTCCAATTTTAAAAATATAGTTACAAAAAAAGTAACAGAAAAATCAGACATATATTTCAATTAAATAGCCTCTGAAATTATAAAACAAAAATAATAATTAAGGTGCAATTGTAATTAATATCACAATTAAAAAGGAGAGTATTATCTTAAAATTTTATTTCCCATAAATTATATCTTAAAAACAATAAAATAATGAATTTCATGGATTAATTAAGAGAAAAACACTTACTATATTTATGTAAAAATTCATTTTCAAAACATTTTCTTATGGAATTAGTGTTTTTTATTAAATAAATAATTTGTATGTATAAATCTTATATATTTAATTACAAATCTCAGAGAGTAAAAAAAATGTAATTTACAATTTATAAAATTTATGACTATTCATCTATATTGAAGGTCTTCAGAATGGGGGGAAGATGCATTTAAAATAAATTTTCATCAAATGTTGATGTTAACATGAAGTACTTAAAACATTTTCTTCATCCCTTCAAAAACTCCACCAGGTTGACCGGCAAACTGATAAACCAAAGTTTATATGATAAAAATAATTATTAGTTCGTGTCCCGGTACTGAAGGAGCTTTTAACTCTGGCATTGATTTCCGCCTTCTCCTCTGGCATGGAAAAACCCATATAGCCTAAAGGACGAGGAAGGGAAGAACAAAATAAAAACATCTTCAAAACTAGTACTGAAAAAACCTGTACTCTTTACTCTTCAAAAGCAGATGATGGACTAAATTAAGTTTAAACATTCTTTTTCTTTTTATTCTCTAATAAAAGACCACCCGAGAAACAAGTAAAATTTTATTTTGAACAACTGTCTCAATGAAAACCTGATAAGAATTGTACAAGTATATTTAAATACAAGTGATTACTAAGAAATATTTATGTGGTACCACTGCCGTACCTCATTAGAAACACATAGAATGAAAGTGCACAACTGTGAAATGATCTTAAGAAATTAATCTGAATAGATACACTGATCAATAGATAAATTTCAAACAAGCTGTGCACCACTATGGTTTACAACACTCAATAATACAATAATTTACAAATTAAATATATAATTTAGTTCACACTAATATGAACAAAACAAATACAATATAAATGTTATTATTTACCTTCTAACACCATTTATTGTGTTTTCTTCTATTATTTGTGGCCTGGTGTCACATTCTGAAGTTGACTTAATGGAAATATTTGAGTGGCATGGGGATGTTCTAGGTGCTATGGTTCCACACATTATACACTTCCTTGATTTTGGCCAGTTCTCGTAAGTGCAAACAGAGCAAGCCCATTTTGCAGGCTTTGATTCAGATTCAGTGATTCTTAATGGACGAAATTGCTCATGGATATTATCTGCAGTAGTAACTGGATATCTTGGTGACCGACATTCACAACAATCTTTATTTTTTGGAAGATTGAGGAAAGTACAGACATCGCAAGACCATTTCAAACTGTTTTCATTAATACAGGGACCAGCAGCATTTGTAGGTGAAGGTTCATTTTTATGAATACGAAATATATCTTCACCAAATGATATAGGTTTGGCTCCTCTACACATAGTGCATTTCAAGGCATTAGGAAAATTTTCATAAGTGCAATATTCACAAGTCCATTTTGGCTGAGAAGTCAGATCTTGGCTCATCACGATTTGCTCAAGATGTACTATGATCACTTTAATCAAAGGATAAATTGTACAAATCTGAGAATGATAATGATGGAACAAATGATACAGACTTTTTATCTTTACAAAAACAACAAATCTCTCAATCAAACACTGAATTCCCCAGACAGAACTATGGGATAATGGCCTAACTGGTTTTCTCAACATATAAACGAATGTAAGTTTCTTGGTAAGTACAAAGTTTATGGCCTATAAATATGCCAGCCGTCAAGAGGATGTTGGACTATAATTTAATACCATACTGTCCAATTGCTACACAAAAAGGGCACTGTTAACAGATCGGTAATAGTGTTATTTTCTAACTCATCATGGACTGAAGCATAACTTCAGAGAATTATAACAGAGCCCTTTATATCATTTTGTTATCTCTTTCCTTCAGCCAGCTGTTGAATCTACAACAAACATTAAAACATGTGAGATTATCAGTTTTAGAAGATACCATAATATTCTATAGATAAAATAAACATAAACTACTATTAGAAAACAAACAAAGCACATTTCTTACTGTTTTCAGATACAAAACAAAAAGGACAATGTCAATAAAGCTCCTTTAAACAATGACCTCTATTCCATTAATAACTGATCTCAACTATGCAATTTTAAATAGGTGCCAAATATGCAACTTGTTTACAATTGAATACATACAAACATATTATCTTTCAATAAAAATGAAATCCAACTAAAGACAAGAGAAGGATTCATAAACAAATGTCAAAAATGTATTATCATACCTTCAACTACACTTGTTTCTAACCATATTCAATCTTAATGAGATTGCACCCTCTTCTATCAATTTATTACTTCTTAAGAATATATTCTATGGAACCAGGTTAAAATTCAGTTTGCTTTTTATTATCTAAGATTATTTTGAATGAGGAAGAATTTTCTCTCAAATAAGAAAACATTACGTCACGAGTCGGCCATATTTGTATACAGATTTTCGTACGAAATGTTGAAAATAAAAAGTTTTAATTAATAGATCGACTATTAACGCTGTATTTAAAAAAAATATTAGTCTTCTATTGACTATGTTAAAAACGAATATACAAAGATGAAAAAAAATATTCCATTACAACAGCTGAACCAATCAGCTGATTTAGACACCATGATAAATTATTTTGAGGTAGAGGGAAATTTAAAAATAATTCAAATAATTATACAAAATTATATTTGTCAGTACATCTTTCTTCATTAAAAATATTAACACCACTTTCAATTTCTTCTTTAGTGATATATTCTAATATTAAAGAATCACCATCAACTATAGAGCCATCACTAACCAGATCCTGTAACAAAACACTGAGTTCTTCACTTAAAATCTCACCACTTGTATTAAATAACCTCAGTTGAGGTGCAGTTGGATCATTGTTTTTATTATCAATTTTCAATATTTTAGAAAATGAGTCTATTGCTTTTCCAATATTGCAATTCTTGTCAATAAATATGGATTTTGCACAGCTTTTATCCTTGCCTTCCAATGGTGGAGCAACAAGAAAATACATTCTTTCTGTGGTGGGAATACTTTTGGCCCCTTTAGCAGACCCCTTAATTTTCATCAGTTTGATTTTATTTGCTAGTGCTCTATTCTTGGCAGCCTTCAATTTTTCTTGAACCTGTTGGCAAATCAAATCAATTTATATTTGTATATCTTCAAAAATGTAACAGCTTTGAAACATAAATTACATATTTCAGAAGATACCTTCAAATCGGTTTCTGCTTTGGCTTTTTTAAATTGTTCTTTTGGGAGCCTGTATTTTTCTCTTTTAGATAAACTTGGAGTTTTATCCAGACAACCATGATGTCTGTGCTGGAGACAGTAGTGATTTTGGCAACTAACACATTTCATTTCAAGGGGATCTGAATTCTGGCAATTAACAAAACTGCATTTAAATACAGCAGTATCCTAAAACACAGATAAAATGACAACCGAAAGCATCGACCATTTCATATCAAAAATAAAGTTTAAAATGTGTCCAATCCAATTTGGTTACTTAATCTTAATACAACTATACTGATAAATATTGGTCGATAAATATTGAGATTAAAAAAAATACGTTTTTCCAAGTTTTTTTTATTTAAAAACTTACTTTCTTTTCAACCACTACATTATCAGTAACTGCTGTACAATTGTGATTACAAGTTTGGGCATGATCTTTGCAAAAGATCATATGACAATACGAGCATTCAATAGGTAAAAAGTCAAGAGTTTGGCACTCTTTTGTACTACATTGTGAGCCTAATTCTGGAAATTCCATTTTCAAATGTTTTAAATTAAGTACACATTAACTCACAATAACATAACCTTCCTTGACATAATCGATATATCCATAGAACATAAAATAGACGGAATAGTCCTATTTCCGTAGTAGCCCTGGAGTCAGGACTCAAAAATCGACCTGATGGCGGGCGAAGGTTTGAATGTAAATTACGAAATTTTATGTTGTTCTGAGTAAAAAGACCATTTTCAGCCATTCCAGAGCCGCTGCTTTAAAAAATGGCGGCTGATTAAAGAATATTAGGCCAGTTACTTGAGCCAAACAAGAAATCTATTTCGAAAAGTTTTTATTTTTTTAACTTGAAAATATGAGTTTAGACATGTAAAAAACAAAATTGCTTATGTGGACCTCTAACGGAAAACTTTCCAACCAAAAAAGAAAACTTTTTTACAGATAAGTCGTTTTTTCCGATATTTTTTGTTCTTTTACTTTTAACTCTTTGAGTTCTACCAATGGGTAGTTTCTCTTCATGTTGTACATGTCATGTTACCAATTTCACATTTACTTATTGTATTTTCTATGTAATACAGTTGTAAATTCCATTAAAATAATAATAAAAAAAAAAAAATTAACTCCTAAACGATGTATCACAGCGTTTATAAATTAAATAGTGAGTCGTTTATCTCAGTTTTTGACAAAAATCAGCGTTGGTTAGCCGTGGTTTTATGCCGTACCACGTAACAAAATTATTAAGTGTATGTACTGCATAATTATAGACGCATAATTTAACGTTCTAGAATTTCTTAAACAGTACAATTTTCACTGCGATGCACCGTTTAGGAGTTACAGGTAAAAAAAATCGAAAAAATCTGACTTTATTGGCTGTTGTTGTCCCTTATTGTCCTTGGTGGCCCGCGTTAGTAATTTTGTTTTTACATGTTTTGGCCCATATATACAAGTTAAAAAAATAAACACTTTTCTCACTGTTTTCGAAATGGATTTCTCCGTTTCGTTTCTCAAGTTACTGTCCTAATATTCTTTAAATCAACTGCAATTTTTTAAAGCAGCGGCTCTGGAATGGCAGACAAGGTTCTTTTTACTCATAATAACATACACTCTCGTAATTTACAATCAAACCTTCGCCTGCGATCAGGGTCGATTTTTGGGTCCTGGTTTTAGGGCTATAGTGCTAGCACTATTAACCTACTCTCCGGTCACCCTTACCTTACTTCACAACCAGCTTCTGTTAAGAGGATACTATTAATTAAATAATTAGTTAAGAAAGAAATTGTCTTATTTTCTTCAACAAACATTGCCCACGAAACCTTCTTGCCAAATAGGAACGGAAAAGGAAGTACTTTCTAACCAAATACTTGACTCAGGACCAGTCGTGAATTGTAGTAATGCAGGATTTAAAAAAAAAATATGTTTATTGTTTCTTATGTACTCATGTGTAATATATAATCAGTGCCAGTTTAGACATTTGGCGCCCCCGGACAATGATGCCATCCCACCTTAAAAAAATTAAATATATTATCAGTGTTTTAACTGCTTCCTGCAGTGCCACATCCTACGCCCTGAAGACGACCTGCAAAGTGGGTCGAAACGTCGGCAAAAATTAAAATAATTAATATATTTTAATTTTTTATTTATTTGACCGCACCCTCGACTAACTCCTTCTCATAAAAAAATTAAATTTATTTCTCAAGCTGTTTGACATTATGTAATATTTGAATTTTATTTCACTCAACATTTCTCTAATACAGTTGCTTTATTAATAGGCTAAAATTTATTATTTTAATAGATTTTCATATATATGTATATTTTAATTCTTAATAAGTGGTGAGTGATGATCGGTGCTCTTGATGATCGGCCCTCTAGGTCGACGTCCCGCATAGTGGGACGAGTAAGGTAAGACTAGCGACATCAGCTAAATCTATTTTCAATTTTTTTTGTTTAGAACTCCAAAAGCTAGATAATATGTTATATTGATACCTTTAGTAATTCGGGAGAATATTTTCAGTTGGCAGAATCTTTCGACAGCCACACTGCAACAGCCTGTAAGGACATGTAATATAGAATACATGTAAATATAGAATGTATAATAGCGTTTTGCGCAGAGACTAGCTTTAGTAATAGGCTGAAATTAATTTTTCTCATATGCTTTGTATTCTTTTTTAAATTTCTAATAAGTGGAGGGCACTTCCAGCCCAGCGCATCTGGAAAACTGACTGGGTTACCCTGCCTTGAGGTCGGCACTGCTTACCATAGAAATAGGTGAAGTGAAAAGGAGAGTGGTAAGACGGAATATAATATTAAACGGTCTTCAAAACAATGGAAACTTCTTGGACACGGTAAAATGAGTTTGACTTGGAAAAAGCTACAATGCCGCCGAATCCCAGGTAATGAGGGACAAAGAATTGATTTCACTAACGGAAAATTTAACACTAGTCGAAAATAGAACTCTAGTTTCATCTATTCAAACCAAAGAATCTTCGAAATCTCAAAAAAGTGTGTTACTACACTAAATTTGATTGCTTTTATCCAACTTATACCTGTTTTTCAAAGTAACTAAAAAGCTATATGTTAAGAAGTAATGGCTCTAAAAGATTATTTTGCAGACATATGATAAAAAAAAAAGTTACCTTTGTCTTAGGCCTGCATAAAAAATTGAACCAAACATATAATTATCATAGAACAAAAATTACTTAATTTTTTCGTCTCCTGAAAATTTTTAGTTTTTGTTCTTACAGGCTTTTGCAGTGGGATGGATATATTTTCCACTGTTTTTAGTGAATAGTTCAATTGAAAAAAAAACCTTTCCTACCTATTTCAGAAAAGTTTTTATATATTTAAATATGTCCATCATGAAACAATAAAAAAATTTAATTAGATTTATTCCCCGAAAATTGAACAAAGAAAAGATTATAAGAGAAAGAAAGCAATATAACCAAGAAGATCAGTGTAAAAAATTGAATACACTCTAATATTGCTACTCAAAAAACTTTTTGCCATAGCCCAATTTGGTTAGACAATTATTTCTATTAAAAGTAGAGGAAATAGTGAAACTTGTGTGATGTGGGCACTAGATTTTTTTATTTTCACTTACTTTTCTTTTTTTTCTCTTCCCTTTCTAGCGCAGGACTGAACTCATAATCTTACATAAGAAATTGAATAGCTGTTCATCGTTAATAGGTGTCCAAAATGAAAGATTTTTATACAGTATTTTAGGGAATTTCAAAACCTTTCGAAAAAAACAGACGGAATGTAACCTTTGTTTTCCTATATTTAGTACATGTTCGAAAATTGTAAAGACATTAACTAAAAAATTATAGGAAAGTTTCATCAAAATCCTAAGAGCCGGTTTTGCGCTACAGTCTACAGAAAAATATATTTTTCATTACTTATTGTGCAGGGAGCACCCAATTTGTGTCACAAGCATCAGTAGTGAAAACCCTGCAAAATAGAAAAAAGAAGCAAAAAAATCGGTCTACTAGTCCCCGAGATAATCTTGGCACAGACAAACAGACCAATGCCTGAAATGTCTTTTTCGGACTCAGTGGGCTCTGAAATGTATACATACATCCGTCGAAAACTGCCCTTTGGAAATTTGACCCGCAATACTTTCCTCAATGATGACCCGATTGTATTGAAAATTTCCTCAACATTTAATTCTTTTGTCAATAATTGATATTGAAAAAGACTATTTTGTGAATTGAAGAAAATTTTAAAATTAGAGTTCAATTAAAAAAATGGTGCAAGTTTGAAAAACACGAGAGTGACGTAAAAAAAGAGTGAAAAGAAGCTAATTGGTTTTTTTTCGAATGGTGATATCTTTAGTGAACCCTCTAAAAGAAAAATTCAATATTGTCTTCAATAGATGTGAAAGAAATTGATTGGCCAGTTCAAAAATAATTTATAAATTATAAATCAGTTAAAGAAAGGTGAAAATTGCAAAATAATAAGTAAATGATGAGAGTATTGTCAGAGATATTAAAAAAGTGAACCAAAATTAATCAAGTATGCATCAAACTGTGATATTAGTGGATCTTCTAAAAGATAAACTATGAAATCTTCAACTTTTCCTAAAGTTGATGGAGCATTGAGTAGTTGGTTCCATCAGATGAGCTAAAGGTATTCCACCAGTAGTCCAATGTGTATTGAAAAATTCTAAGAATTGTATCCAACATTAAACATTGGAGGCGAGTTTAAAACTTCAAATTGTCACCTTTCTAGATTTAAAAAAAGGTATGGAATAATAGCACTTGTTAATGAGGATGAAACAACAGTTTATAAGAGAGGGGAAGATTGAGAGGTATGGCTAAATGAAAAGCACAAGAAGTTTTGTTTTTCATGAAATATAAAAATAACTTTTCAAATAAATCTGAAAACAAAAATTTTCTAAAAATATGCATAGTAATATTGAGAAGTTTTTATATTTTTAATCCTCTTTTAATAGTCCATATTATCTTGGTATTTTAGGAATCAAACAATAAATAAGTAATTTTAACTGTTATTTCTTGTGTCCTCCAACAATCTCCAATCATCTTCTCTTTAGTATCACCATTTCTTCATTTTCCATGTAATTTGATATACTTATTTATTATATTGTTTTTTGTCAACACATTTAATGTTTTTAATTTAACAGTATCTATATTTTTTAAAATAATAGTCACTTATTTGATTAACCTTTTGTAGCATATCATTCCATCCCTGGGAGGACTTGAAAATCTCGGCTTCATGGTAATAAAAATTTTTAACAAAAATTTAAAAAAAAAAATCTATCACTAACGTGATAAATAAACCTTTAAGCAAAAGCTCCATAATCAAACTAACCTAAGCAAGAATTATATTTTTCTCTCAAGCTTAAGTTAGAACTTTTGTACATATTACCACTATAAAATAATAAACTCAGGTATGCTTTATAGCTATATAGCTTTATGCCTTGAGAAAATGAGAATAGGGTTAATGATTATTAAATTTTTAAACAAAAAACAAAAAATAAAATGTAACATACATTTATTGATACTTAAGAAGCACCGAATTAACTAAATAAATATTTATACAAACAGCAGGACATTTATAACCATAATTTTTTGGAAAAATACATACATAATAGATCACATATTTACAAATATGCTAACAATAATATAAAAAATTCAAAAAACAAAAACATTGGATAGGCAGTTTCGTACACAGCAATCTGTATGAAAATATATATTTTGACAATACCAATTACACAGGACAATGAGATCAAAAGTCTTTTTGATTTTGCATCTTATATATTAGTGTCCATTTTTTTTTTAATTATGTATATTATTTACAAAACAGAAATAGTTTATTTACAATTTAAATAGTACATCTTTATTTACAGTCTCACATACATTATGATAAAATTTATATAATTCATCAGTATTCATAATACAAAAATATAATTTCGAATGTACAAAGTCTTTTATCAATATATTTATATATATTACAAGGAAAATGCTTTCAGCGTTCAAAATACAATTACCGTATTTAAATAGAAGTTTAGAATAATACAGCTAATATATTAAATATTATTTAAAAGCAACTGATTTTTGTTATAAATTTGTTTATAAATAATTAAAACAGCTCTAGTTTCAAAAAATAAATATTTGTATTGCTTAAAACCTTAACTTTAAATAGAGTATACAACATATACATTGCAGAAAACTATTTCTGTGCGGTCATTCTATGCTCATTAATAATATTCTGTCATCTCTTTGAAAGAAACTTGGTCATCTAAAAACAAAAATTAATAAAATTATGCAACCTAATAATAATCAAAATAAATCGAGAGTTATTTAAATAAAGTTAATATATAATGTTTAAAAACACACAAACAATGTTGTTATAATTAATACAGAACATGTTTTTCCTCGAATTGTCTGGGTAAAAAAATCATATGATTTATTGCATTGTAATATCATCGAGTTCGAAGCAGCCCTGTTTCCAACAAGGTTTGCCATACTGATAACATGTGCAAGAATTACAATAAACTATCAATGAAAATTATAACAAATATTGGGTGAAATGTTTGAGTTTAAAAATAACACAGAAAAACACATAAAACATATATACATATATATATATATATATATATATATATATATTTATATTTATAGCAAGTATAAACAAAATTAATAACATGGAAGGATCACATGAAAACACAAATAAAAAAAAAACATCGAAAAATTAAATAGAACAATATATAGTTTTTTAGGACTCTAAACAAATAACCTAAGAAGAAAAAAGGGTTCTACATCAGCATGAGACAACAATAAATAGGAGAATGGTTTAGTACTTCATGATCTATTTTATTGAAGAGATGTTTAAAGGAATGATTGTATTATTTATTAGAAAAAAGTTCATATACTATAATCTGATTCTTATTAGTTCATAAAATATTTTAAAAGTTTATAATATATTTTTGGTTTGTTAAATATTTATTGTGAAGCTGTTTTAGATTAACAGTAAAAAATTTGATAAAAATAATTTTTTTTCTCTTTGAGATGGTGATTTTTCAATCCATCAACAAAAGCAGTAAGAAATAGATGAAAAAAAAAATACATATATAAAAAGAAAAATTAATAATAATTATTGCCTCAATTGTTTTAATAAATTACTCATAAAATTAATTTAATTTGGCATCCAAACTTAAGATAAAAAAATATGCTTAAATGTATAAAGGAAGCAGAAAATAGCTATGTAATATATTTATTTATATACATGAATATATAAAACAGTCATTGAAAATCTACAAAAAGTCATTAATTTTTCAAGAAATTTACTTAATGCCATTTTCAAGTTTTTTTTTCTTCTATCCAATTTATAAGTTCTAAGCAATTTATAATTTTTCAATTATTTAAATAATTGTGGAAGGGATATTCATAATTTTAAAAATATATATATTTTGAGAAACCAGCAAAGTTAATAAAAATGTTTAGACCTAAAATCTGTCTTCACACAATTTCATCTAGATGCTTCTAATAGCAACAGATACAATTTTATTCTTCCTTCAATTAGTATATTTTCTCGAGACACATCTATTGCAATTAAAATCATGCAACTATTCATTTTTATTAGATTTTAATCCACAAAAAGACATGTAATTTTAAATATTATAATAAAGCTTTATTAATAAAGTGTTCTAATATAAAAGAAATATAAGATATCATGAAAATTTAACAATACATTTATGTGGATATTAAATATAAAATGAAATAGATAATTTCCCCCAACCAATTTCTTTTCTGAAATAAATAAGAATATATAGTCGGTTGTATGCTAAACTATTGAATCGGTAAAAACACAACTTTTCAGTAGTGCAAAAAAGCTCTTTCTAACCTTTCCTGAACTAGAGTGCTGGATTTCCGAAGTTCGATCCAAAGTGTCTTTTCGGAACTTTTTTGTAAAAAATTGTATGATATAATCCAAATGACTTTAGAATGAGAAAGGTATTCCAAATCCATAAAATCTCAAAAACTTAATTTTTGCAGATTTGCTACTTTAGCATTAATACAACAATCTTCTTGCCCAAAGATCGAATTTAATAAAATAAACACTCATAATTTAAAGTGTTTTCTTTATCATTTTTATTTGGAACTTTTTAGATGATGAAGAGAGAAGTAAAGTATCTCACAAACGTTCAAATTAAACTCATAAAGAAAACAATAAATTATGAATGTTTATTTTATTAAATTAGATCTATGAGCAAGAAATAAGGAGAATACATCTTTATTTTTATTATGTTAATATCAGTAATCAGATTAATATTTACTGATAAATTGGATTGATTATTAATATTTTAATAAATAATGAAGAAACAATTCACTCATTGTTTAAAAGTGAGAACAAGTATGTACTTTTCATGGTAAAAATAAATTTCAAACATGGTAAATTGTAATAAAATCTAAAATATCTCCATCTGAAATAGTACTCCACGATCTTTCTAGCAACTTTTAAAGTTGCTTTTTTATTTGTTAACTGTTCTGAAACCCTCTTGACAACTAACATTGCATTGGTCGCAAGAAACCGATTCATTATGTTTAACTCAAATCATCATTTATTCTCTATGTCCACACATCACCATTTTTCATTACAGTACTTTATCTTATAATATCTTTAATATTATTATATCTTCATTATACTACATTTCAATAATCACTCATTATTTTATCTTGATCTTGATTACTTACATATGTTTGTTTGATTTATAATATTTTCGTGTATTGTCATACTGTCCGTTATCCTCATATAGTTCAATTTTTAATATTTTCCACGTATCTATATCAATATAATATGTTATTTAATATAATTTTTATTTCATTAATTACACATTCATATTTGGTTTATTATTAACGTATCCATATTCTAAATTTTCATACTGTTTTATTATATATTTTTTATCTTCTTATATTAAAGTTATACTGATTTTCTTAATCGTTGTTATCTCTGTCTTTACTTAGGTCTGATGAAGGCCTATGAGATAGGCCGAAACATCGGCACACAGTAAAATAAGTTTTCTCCTTAGTGTCTACTTTCACCGCATCTCTGTTCAACTTCTACTATTTCATTTCTGGTCAACAATATCAATATCAATACCAATGTGAAATATCTGTTGTATTATTAATATTTCTTGTTAACTCCTTCGACAGAAATTTATCCCCATTTCTAAGTATTGTTCTGGTTAGAAGACAACCAAACATAAAGAATTTCAGCTGATTTGATCTGAAGGAGACCACTAGAAGTACACAAATATAACAGGAAAAGGAATATATAAAATATTTCAGATATCTCTGAAAACACGCTAAAAGCATGGTTTAGGGGTTGTGAAAAGACAGATTTTATCTGCAACCTTTCTCTCTTCGGTCGATATTAAATTCAGAGGAAAAGTATATTATTTCCCGAAAAATATGATAAAAATCTTTTCAAATTGAATTTAAATAATTGTATTTTATATATATATATTTTTTTTTTTCAAGAACTACTAATTTTCATTTATTAATAGTAAATATAGTAAATATAGTAAATATAGTAAAAAAATTGAATAAATACTTACTACAACTCAAGTTCTTCAATTGTTCTAGATAACCTATTAGAGTCAGCTCTCCGCCTGGCAGACCTCCTAAGAGCGTCAGCTCGTCTGTATGGCTCATGCCTGAGCCCTTCGAGGATATCTTCTAAGGCACCATTGTACACTTCATCCCTTGGAAGAACTTTCATCTCCTGGACAAGCCGTGACCTACACTTCAGTTCAGCTATTACAGCTTCCTAAATTGAAATTAACATATTCACAACATTAGGCGCTTATGATACAGCTACTACCCCATGACCTTATCCTCTAAACCAAATTATTTGCAAAAGTTTTCAAAATAAGCAATAAGAATAGCATAGTTTTGCAATAGCTTTTAAGAAATAGTTTCAACTGAAAATGTAAATAAAGTTGTTAGTAACAGCTGCTTTATAAGAAAATAGAACAGTAAATTTCAAATGTATACAATATGGATATATATCCATTAATCAGTATTATTATTCGAATTTAAATAATATTAATTATAATAAATTTAGATGCATAAACCCAATATCTAATTAATATTACCTCAAGTCTTTGAAATAGAAAAGTTTTCTAATTATTCAGAATCATTAAGCGTACTGTTAATTTACTATTTTATAATTCAGGAATGTATTAGACTGCTTCTAGAATAGAAAAAGAACTTCAATGAATAGAAAAAACTAAAAGGAGAATATCCAGACACAATGTTAAGTAATGTTTCCACTGTAGTTTCAATTTTCAACATCCTTTATGTTTCACAAAATCCCAAAACAGTAACAAATGTGAAAATCTAATTGACGCCAATAGATTTAAGTAAATTTTCCAAACATCAATATCTAGCATAAGTTGAGAATGTATACACCAATTTACTTATAAATGTTTACTAATTTCATAACAAAAAGACAAACAGTCCTGTTCTGACACTCAGGAGCAATGAATTTTGACAAATGAGGAGTAAAATAAATAATAAAAAACCCCATGGGAAAGTGACCAAGTCGAATTCAGATCCTTAAATTCATTAAAGAATAAGGGAGGTTTCAAAATTCAAACATTGATAAGTTGATGGTTTTAAACAGGTTAAATAATTTTTTAGATTTTGATGTGAACATCAAGAACTGCTATAGCTCCTTTGGAATGGAACACTCCAGCATTTTAAGGCCTAAAATTTATAGTTTTAAAGATAAACTATAATGCCATGGTTGAGATGGGATACCTATTACATGTCGTTTAAGGGATCTAGATGGACAAATAGAAGAGGCATCAAAATTGGTGAATTTATTGCGAGGAATCAGTTAGTGGTAATTAATGATTCCTTTGAAACACCAACGTTTTCAGGACCTATGGGCCAAAGTTGGATAGATGTAACGCTGGTTTCACTGAAGCTAGTAAACCTAATTGTCGATTCGACCCTCAGATCTGAGACGAATTCCGATCACAATACTCTAGCATTTGGCCTATTGCAGAATGCATGCTGTTCCCACGGTATTGATAAGGGTTACAAAACCTGCATTAAAGACTGGAGTACCTTCTGTTCTATGTTGGAGTGGAAGCTAATTGATGATGAATGGGAAAAAGCTGAGACAGACTGGAAGGATGATCTGGACTACAGGGTGTTCAGGATCACTGATGTCATCTGCGATGCTGCAGAAAATTCCCTTCATTGCAGGAAAATGAGAGCTCGACTAGCCCCATAGTGAACGCCGGCCTTAACTACCCTGAAAAGAGACCTCTACAAGGCCCGGCGGTCGTATCAGAGGTGTAGGAGCGATTAGAGGAGCACTGCACTTGGAAACGAGTACAAGGAAAAAGCAAGGATATACCAAAATAAAATGAACAGCCAAAAACGGAAGTCCTGGGATGATTTCATTGTTAAAGAAACAATTAAGAATCCCTGGGGTATTCCGTACAGAGTGGCTGTGGGAAAAATGACTCCAATGCAGACTATTGCAGCTTTAAAACATGGAGATTCCCAAGCAAACACTCCTGAGGAGGCTGCAAAAATATTTATTGAGACGACATACCTCAGGGATGACCCATCCCACAACAATGAAGATGAAACGTTCATAAGGCAAGCTACGGTATATCCACCTGGAACAGACTTGTGCCCACCATGGGACCTAAATGATATCCAATGTGCTGTGGACAGGAGAGAATCGGTTGCGCTCCAGGGCTAGGTGGTATTAATGCTGCGACCTTGAAGAACAGTGCCCCCTACATTGAGGAAAGGCCATTGAACATCTTTAATGACTGTTTAGATAGAGGGTACTTTCCAACAGAGTGAAAGATTGCAGATTTGAGAGTGCTCTACAAGGGGGGTGACACAGATAGGCAAGTCGCTAAATCATACAGACCAATCTATCTCCTCCTGTGATGAATAAGGTCCTGGAGTACCTAATACTAACCAGTCTCAGACTGATAATAGACAGAGCTAGCCATCCATGGCAGTATGGATCCACCAAAGGTAAGAGAACTGCTGATGGCTTGCTCTAAGTACGCCACAATGTTTATGAGAAGATAGAGAAATATGTCATGTTACTTTAGTTTGACATATCCTCCGCCTTTAATAGCATGTGGTGTCTGAAGGTGCTACAACAGCTACAAAAGTTCGAGGCGACCAGCAACTTGTTTGCCTTAATGCAGAGTTATCTAGAAGATTGTAAAATGAGGATATGCGGCAACTTCTATGAAGTTGAAGAAAAAGTGGAAAGGAGATGTCTATAGGGCTCTGTCCTTGGACCTGCTCTTTGGAAATTAGTATTCGATGAGTTGCTGGGGGTACTCAAAGAGAAGCGGTTCTCTGCTACGGTCTAAGTTGACGACCTGGTTGTAGTGGTGGTATCCAGCAGCAATCTGATCAGAGAATGATCCAAGAGGAAAAGGTTGAAAATGGCTGGTGCCAAAACCCAAGCTATCCTTCTAATGCTGTGGTTACATTGGACATGTAAATCGTATGACATGATGAAAAAGGCACTGTCTGTTCGAAAAACATACATTTACCATGGCAACGCCATGTCCCAGATTTCTAATTCATTCAGCAGTTTAACATTGTCTTTAATTTAATCAAAATTGTTTTTTCATGTATTCCAATTTATAAATATTATTTTCAATACTATTTATTCAACAGATAATCCAAAATTAATTCAAATTCAGTATAAATGAAAGTATAGTAAACATAAATTTCATTAATGAAAATGGAAATATGTAGCAACTTTTAATGGAATAAATAGAATTGAAAATTAAAAATATTATCTTTTTTTTTTTAATATTTCAAAGAAAAAATAAAACTTATATCTTATATATTATTTCTAAAAGGTGTTTTTTTGTCATTAGACCATTTTTTGTTGGTACATTTTATATTTTTTAATAATTTAGAAAATCCGATGATCGAGGATTTATTTTAAATGCTATTTATTAAAGTATATGACAAACTAAAAATCTATTGAAAAAGTAAACGAACAAGAATCTAATAATAGTTTGTGAAAAAAAAATTTGCCAAACATACCATGTTTGTAATAAAAACACCTCAGAGTATCTTAGTTTAAAAAAAAAATATCTACTTAAAATACACAGGTGGGGTCAGAGACTACAAAAAAGATGCTTACAACTTCTAAAAAAATGAAAATTTCAGAATAATTTAGAAATGAGTTTTATGAATTCTTATTAAATACCTATTGTAAAAACATTTTTAATACATAATTTCATATTTAAATTAATTTATTCTTGATGAACTTAATGTTTAACAATCAGAATTATTCCTACAATCAAATTCCCATAGGTTGTAATTAATTAAGACTACTTAAGTCAACTAGACATATTTTATATTTAATTTATTTTATAACAGTACAAATAATAATAATATTGGTAATTATTGATTACTATACTATATATTTTTTTCAAATTTAAATAATTTAATATTTTGAGAATTGAATACATGTTGGTAATAAAAGATTGTATTGCGTGTGTAATCAGGAGTGCCCATCCCCTCCAAGGAAATTTTAATGCCTCTTTCTTCCTAATAACAGAGTAATCGAAAGTAGAATATGTTACATACCATTACACTCGTTGTGGTCTATTTAATGTTTTCTCTCTTAACTTCCTGGTTTGGCGACTCCTCCATATTGAAACCCCACAAAAATATGTTACCCTCCAAATATTGATAAATCTGTCAAAATATCCCCCTCGAAAATTCAAAACACGATAAAAATATCCTCCCCTCACAAATTTTGGTGGTGTAACTTGTGCCATGCAACCCCCTTCTAGGCACCCTAGTGTTAAATTGATTAAGACCACATAAAAACAATTAATAAATAATTTACAGTTAAGGAGTTAGTCTATTTTTCTTAGTACTGGAACAAGTACCCAAGAAATTTAAGAACAAAAATCATTTGAGAAGGACTACAAGTAAAATCATAATAAAAATGACTCATTATTACAAAAAAATGTTGAAGAAAATATAACAAAAACAAACGATTTTATCTTATTTTTAGTTACAATTTCATACATATAATAGCCTGAAAATGGCATTTCATATTTACCTTTATATGGTCCTCTTATCTGATGTAAAATAAAGTAAGAAGTTAGTAAAATAAAAATTTAAAACATGCCTATACTGGGAAATTGGGTAACTTAATGTATGAATAAGCATTTAAATTTAATTATATTAACGGTTTTATAATACCAGTAACAAAACAGGTAACAAAATTACAAATAATTAAATTAAACCTTGAGGTTTAAACATTTTATTTAACGATAATAGTAGCAACTAACAAATCAAAGGAAATAACTCAAGGTTATCTACTAATTGATAATATGCTGCAATCAAAGTTAAAATTGTAATGTTTCACAAGATCCATAGCCATTCCCCATTCCAGCATTTATGATAGTAGAAGTCATTCCAGCCTTTATAGCCCTGGAGCCAGGGCCCAAAAAATCGACTTCATCGCAGTCGAAGGTTTGAATGCTAATCACTAAAGTGTGCGTTAAGTAAAATGAACTTTGTCTGCCATTCAAGAGTCACTACTTTAAAAAATGGCAGCTGATTTAAAGAATATTAGGCTAGTAACTTGAAGAATGAAACGAAAAATCTATTGCAAAAAATGTTGAAATTTTTTTAACTTCTATATATCGGTTCAAAGATGTAAAAACCGAAATTTCTATCGCGGGCCGCCAAGGGAAAACTTTTTAAAGACAAAAAACTATATTTTTTTAATCTTTTTTTGTTTTTTTCACCTATAACTCCTAAATTGTACATCAAAGCGGAAATGTAATCTTTAAAAAATTAGAGAATATTAAACTGTGCGTCGATCAAGAATTAAAACTTAATAATTTGGTCAAGTGCTATGTTAGAAAACTACGGTCAACAAATGCTGATTTATACCAAATTTGTCAAAAATTTAGAGAAATTACTATAAATGGCTATGTACCTTGAAAATGAGTTCCCTAACAGAAAAAAACCATAGAATAGAAATTGCAGAGCGTCAAATGCTAAAAATTGGTAATGAAGGAATGAGTGATTTTCAATATTTCAGCAGTATAAGTGTATATTCTACTGTGTTATTCTTGTTTAGTCTCCTATATGCAGAATAGACCTCTTTCCCACCTCTCTTTGAATTTTGAGAAGCGATGTGTAAAAAGAAACCGAATTACATGAAGAAGTAACAAATCCCGATTTGTGATACATAATTAACCTAAATTAAAACTGTTGATACTCAGTGGGCGCAGTATTTGATGCTCTACAACTTTGATTCTATTCCAAGCTATTCCAGGGCCATTTATAGTAATTGATCTCAGTTTTTGATAAATGTGGCATAAATCAATATTAGTTGACCGTGGTTTTTTTACCATACCACTTGACCAAATTATTTAAATTTATGTACTCGTTAGAAGAACGATTTAACGTTCTTTAATGTTTAAAGAGTACATTTTTCACTTTATTCTCTCTTCTACCATCGTTCGGAATGAGGGTCCTGCTTATAGAGTCTGGCCCAGCTGTCTCTTATACCAACTCTATTCTCCTATTCCAATCTATTCCGCGTTTCCTGTGTGCCTCATTTACACTATCCTCCCAGGAGATACGAGGCCTTCTTCTGGGTCTTTTCCCTTCCATGTGGGTCTCGTAAGTCTTCCTGGCACTTCTATCTGGATCCATCCTAAGAAGATGTACAAACCACCTAGTTTGTGCTCCTCTAGAATGGTCTTCGCCGGTTTGACGTTGAGATATGCTATCTCTGTGTCTTTCCTTCTGTTTTACGCAGATATCTCATTTCCACGACTTGTATCTGACTTATGTGTTTTGTGGTGAGGGTCCATGATTCTGAATAGGATATGATAGGGAGGAATGTCGACTTATAGACAGCTAGTTTGGTCTGCTTTGACACCTCTCTTTTTCCCAGGAAACCCCATCTGACCATAATGAACATCTCTGCCGCTCCAATTCTTTGGGCCACTTCTTCCTCTATGTAGCCATTTTCATTGAGATGAGCTCCCAGATAGTTATAATTCTCGACCTGCTCTAATCTCTGTCTTCCAACCCTTAGTACCCTAATTATTCTTTGGGGTTTCTTTCCAATTTTCATGCATTTATTCTTCCCTGGATTAATCTTCATATTTATTGTGGATAATTCCTCTTGGAGGACATTTATGTTATGTTGGCGGTCTCGATATTTGGCAACAAACAAAGACGAGGTCGTCAGAGAAGGCCAACAGGGAATATCTGGTAGGGTACAGATTTCTGTGCCCTAGCTCGAATTTCCTCATTATAGGCTTGGCCCTCCATAGTGCCAAGTCTAAAACCATGATGAAGAGCAATGAACTTGGGCTACAGCCCTGTTAGATACCCAATGTAGTCTCAAATTCTTTTGAAATGTGGTTTCTGGTTCTGATCACATTCCTCATCTTTTTATAGTCTACACCTTGCGCAGATAGTGCCCTCTATGTCTTCTTTCTTCACTCAGTCAAAAGCCTTCTGGAGGTCCACGAAGCAGGTGGAGAGCTCTTTGTCCTTCTCAACAGTCTTTTCTGTTATTTGCCTCATTGTGAAGAAGAGATTCTGTGTGCTTCTCTGATTCCTGAAGCTATATTGTTCATCTTCTAGTTGGCAATCTTCCTCATTCTTGTTTCTAGAATTCTAGAGTAGACTTTTGTAGGCACACTGAGAAGAGATATTTCCCGATAGTTGCTGCACCCCCGATTGTTTCTCGTTTATTGAATGGGCACAATCACCACTACTTCCCAGTCTCTGAGAATCTTCTTCTTCTTCCAGAACAGGTTTAAAAGATGGAGGAACATCTCTTGGCCTTTGCTGCCCATGAACTTAATCATTTCCGGGATAATTTCACTGAGTCCAGCTGCGTTGCCTAGTCTTGTCTTTCTGATTGATTCTTGGAGTTCTTCACTGATTTAGTCTTCCTCATCCCAAACCTCCTCTGCATCGTTCCGAATTTAGCATTCCTCAACATCCCTTCCCTGACGACTCCGAAGAGTTTAAAGTGAGCAGTGGGGTTAGGCAAGGGGATGCCCTCGCCTGTCTATTGTTCAATTTGGCAGAGGAGAAAGCTGTAAGAGACTCCGGTATTCAGACCAAAAGATACAATAATCTTCATCGCCTGACACAGCTTCTTGTTTGCTGATGATACTTGACATAGTATGGTAGGTCTGAACTGGCTCTCAAAAGCTTTTATAAGCCTGAAGCAGCTGCAAGACCACTTGGTCCTAGAAGTCAACGAGAGGAAAACTAAGTATATGAGATTGGCGTGAGTTGATCTGAACTCTCCATTGAGGTAGGTTCTTTTAAGTTTGAGAGTAGTGAAATTTTATACACCATGGTCAGAAATCATAGCAAGAATGACATGGCTCAAGAATACAAAGAAGGATCCACGGCCCAATAGATGTGTCATTGGACTTGGCCGACACTTAGGAAGTAGGTACCTCCTCAAAGAAGACCAAGTTGATCATGATACAAGTCCCTTGTACGGACCCTGTTTTTGACATATGGCTCAGAGTGCTTGGGACGATGACCAAAAGTGATGAATGAAGCTGTGTGTCTTTGAGCGAGGAGTCCTCAGAAGGATTTATGGTCCAGTAAAAGGAGGGTATGTCTGGAGGAAAAGAAAAATAGATTATAGGGAGCTCAGTTCTCTCTATGCAGACATCGACGTAGTCACGTATATGTAACTGGCCAGACTAAGGGGGCAGGGCATGTGGGCCAGCAAGAGCACCCTTGAAATACCAAAAAAAATATGAAAGGAGTAGCTTGCACCTCGTAAGACGGGTAGGAAGGCCGAGGACTAGATGGTTGGACAACGTGGCCTATGATCGAGAACCCTGCCTTGGTGTCGGAACTGGAGAGCTGCAGCAGAAGACAGAGCCAACTGCGGAGGCTCTTGGAGAGGCCCATCTCGGTGACGGATTGTTGTGCCATACATGAATGAATGAACATTCCTTCCCTATATTAGGTCTTTAAAATGTTTTTTCCATCTTTCCATGATGCAGACGATGTTCCTGTTTTTATCCTTTATTTTTTTCAGAGTAGTTGGCCAGTCATTCCTCATTCCTTTGAGCACGCATAAAAGACTTTCTGATTTTTCTTTTATTTTTTTTCAGCTTCTGACCAAAATCCTCCCAGGATCTTCTCTTCTCTTGAATTACTATTAATTTGGCTTCTCTTCTCCGACTTTTGTACCTCTGATAAGCAGTTGGGTTTTTCTGGCTGAGGTAATTTTTCCAAGCTGTCTTCTTGTCTCGGCTTGCCTTTTTCATGTCCTCATTCCACCAATCTGTTCTCTTAAGACCAGATCCGATGCTTTCTCTCCGCAGACCAATTTCGATCCTTTCTCTCCGCAGACCAATTTCGATCCTTTCTCTCCGCAGACCAATTTCGATCCTTTCTCTCCGCAGACCAATTTTGATTCATTTAGGACAATTTTCCTAAAAGCTGACCAACTCTTATCTATGTCGTCACTATTCCATGATCGGTTACAATCTAGTGAAATTCTTTCTATTTCCTCTTGGTAATATACATTCATTTCCTCCTCCTTTAAGCCGTACGATTTAATGATTCTTTTCTTAGGATTGATATGTTTCATAAACAGGAATAACACAAACTTTCGTAATTTACATTCAAACCTTCGCCTGCGATCAGATTGATTTTTAAAGAAAAATGAGAGTTTATGAACAATCAGGTAGGAAAAAAGGATAAAATTATATCAACAAATGGGTATAAGTTAAAAATGGTATGCAGCCTGAGCACAGGACAGAAATGCTGATTAGAATTAATAAAGAAGTATTATTAATGAAATAGGAGTTAATGTGAAAGGTGCTTCATGCTTATTAAAATTGTAAATGAACAATCTGTATTATTAATGCTGATTTGGTCATTGTTAGGAAACGGAAAAAGAACAAAAAAAAAAAAACAGCAATGTACCTGTATTCCCTTGAACACCTTATCGCCATCCAGATTGTTCCGATTCTACGTAAAGTGCAAACAATCAGTCTACCACCACCACACTGATTAATACTTTCTACTCAATAAGATAATGCATTAAATACACTAATTGATAAACTACACTTATCTACTCTACAAGCAATACAAAAGCAGAATAAATATGTACTAAAATGAAAGTAAATTTAATTTATGTGACAATAAAAAAAATTTTAAATAAAGAAATTAAGTAGAAAAATTTCAAATTGTAAAACAATCATGCGTTACAAAGAAGAGTGATTCGTTTTTAAAAAATTTTAAGTTAAACTAACTCTAATCATAAAGAAAATGTTTAGATGGAAGTCACCAAAAATAATTAATTCAAGATCTGCCATAAATATAATAACTGAGATTTATTTTCTATTATAGGGAATTTGATTACCTTCCAAAATATATATATATTTTTTAAATTTACCGTAAAATGTATACTTTTTGAATTATGAGGGGATGAGGAGGAGAGGCTAAAGTAGATATGAAGTGTAAAGATCTGTTGATAACTGCACATCAAAAATTTGACCCCATTATCAATATTTTCATTGATTAATAATTTCATTGTTATTTAGAAGCTGTATGAAAGCAAAAAGCAATTGTTATACTGATACTAACAGTAAACATTAAATGAAAAATAAATTTCTTTAACAAATAAATATTAATTTTGGTAGTCTTTTTCTTAATCAAGTCACTTTGAGAAGTAAAATTATTTTTTATAAATTTTTTACCTAAGGTTATGATGCTTTAGGTTCTATATAATTCTCTTTGAGATTCAAATTTTCAATAACCAATTAACTCAAGCATTTGTTAAAAGGTCTGGACATAAAGCTGGCATGATTTAAATTGATTTTCTTATCATTAACCAATGTTGCTACTAATTACAGATATACCACTTAATATTAAATTTAAAAATCAAGCTATTTAAAATTTAATATCTTTATTTAAAATTATTTAGCTGTTCGGACCAACAGGACCAAACAGTCAGGGACGGAATATGATGAGAAAATAAATATTTTGCAGCGTTTTGGTTCATTTTAGAGTTTAATACACGTTTCTCAATTATTTCATTTCTCTTCACCTGGAAAAACTTGAGTATTAATATTAATTAAAGAGAATAACTAATATATTAACATTAATTCTTGAACTGGGGTTTTCAATTGTTAATAATTCAGGTTTAATTCAAATTAAACAAAAACACGTCTAATAAAATTAATTGCCTTGAATTGACCAGCACTGACATAGCAATACAACCAAACTCATTTCATCTTTGGCCGCAAAAACTTAGCACCTTTAACTTGCTTATTGCAAACAAATTAATAAACTAAGACTTTTTTTGAAATTTTTCAAACAGCAAAAAATTATGACTATCATGAATCAGATTATTGTTAGTATGTTTTTATTTTATTTTAAAGCCCACTGTTTGTTTATTTAATTATTAATTGGGTATTTAGTTGTTGCGTTTTCGATGCTTACATCATAGTTTTCATAATGATTATTGTTGTTAATTTTATCACAACTTGATTTATAATTGACTATGTTATTTGAATAAGTCTGATGAAAGTCTAGTGACCGAAATGGGTTGCACTAAGACCTAAATCTTTGTGAAACACCTTAAAATGAATTGAATAGATAGTGTCTGGAATATTTTTAATCATCTTGCAATTCACAGCTCTTATAATACCAAATAAAACAAAAAGAGGGGCAAAAATCTGTGACATTAAACTACAGTAAAATTAACAAATTGAATTCTTTTAAGAAATAAAAAAGGCTGAAAAGGGCGAAATAGAAATTATGGGTCTAAAAGATTCTGATTTAAAACCATCTCATCAATTTTTTTTGGTATCTAGTGCTTTTTGATATATTGCTTTTAAGCCACTTGTTAAGGGGGGAGGGTTAAATTCCACTTTTTTTCAAATAAAATGATTTTTTGTAAAAGTTAAAATAAAAGATTTGATCCTAAATGACTCAATTAATGTAATACTAGTTATCTCTTTAAGAAAATCTCAATACCTGTTTTTTATTTATAATACATTTGTATTTTGACCCAAATTCATTATGTCACCTGAACTGAAAAATATACCTATAAATTGTTGTTATTTAGCAAAACAGAAAACAAGCCCACTCAACAGAATATTAATGACAATTAATTAATATTTATTGAATCAAATGCAGACTTTGTTATCATTTTCATCCTATTCCTTACAACAGATTTGGTAAACGCTCTAGAAAGTAACCACTTTAAAATTGTAAACATATGAAGAGTGAAAACAAAGTTTCACTATTAATAATTAAGTAATCAATTGTTCATAAATTAAATTTAAAAATAAATAGAAAGATTTTACCTAATTAATGATTTAGGAATTTTATTTTTCCCAAAACAAAATATTATTTTTAGATTTTTTTGATAATTAATAAGTTTGGGAAAGATTCAATACATTAGCCACACTTAGTTTTATATAAATACTTCAATAAACACAAAAAATATCTACTTTTCTTTACATTTTTTGGTAGTGATTCATCAAAACTTCCATATATAGATATAAATTAAATGGTAAATCCTTCATTTCAAATAAGATATAAATAAAATAAGTAAGAATTGAACCCAAGACATGCTCAGTACATTACTGAATAAAACATAACAAACCTGGCTTTCAGCTTCAGACAGTTGTCTCCTTCGTTTCGCAGCTTCGGTCCCCTTAGCAACTTCTTCCTGCCTTCGCCATTCATCATTCTCCTTTTCCGCCACCTAATATTCACTTTCCCTTTATTTTCTTTCAATAATAGTTACTATTATAAAGACCCTTTATAAAAACTTTGTATCATTGATTATCTATTGAAAAACCCAATTTAATAAAAACTTTATTGAATGTCATTCATTTCTCCTTAGCTTTCATCCAAAGATAATTTATAGATTCTTTTCAATAACTCTTCACATTAAGCTATCGCAAAATAAAATTTTACCATTTTGCTTCCCAAAGTAAAATGAAAGATTTGTTAGTTTTTTAGTAAACATTTTTAAAAACACACACATAAAAAAGACAATACAAACATTAGTAGGTTAAAACAAATAACACCCAAACATTGTAAAATACTGGCGTGTATATCATGGAATGCTGCATTAAAACTGATTAGCAAGATAAAAATAAAACAGTAGTAAGTCCGAGGGCTTCTGATATATTTGAAAAACTTAGAAAATAGGTTTATAGGGCAATTAATTAATAATATGCTTTCAATCTTTGATTTTAAAAAACTCCTATATAAGTAAGAAAATTAATAATTTTAATAAATTTCCTGTTTGGATTATAATTATGAAATCGAATATAACAGAATAAAAAAAAAAGCGAAAGCAAAACAACTTAAAAATAGAATAAACTACATTGTAAGTTGTGAAGAACAAATTTTTTATATCATTCCTTATTTTAAAAAAGGAATTATTATTATTTTTATATCAGGAAATTATTAACATGATTTCTGATTAATTCTAAAGTTAAATAAAAATAATAGTTTATAAAAATAATTAATAATACAAAGTTCTTTTAGTAAATTTGATAAACAATTTTGAAATAAAATAACTACAAGGACTTGAAGAAACATCTTAATACATGTATCAACACTAAACTGATAAACATTGTAAAAATATGAACACAAGTACCTTAAAAGATTTGACGAATCGGACGAAAAATGAGAAAAACGTTGTAGGATCAGTAGTTCGTGGGCATTCACCAAAGTACTCAGCTGTCTCTCTGAAGGCAGAGAGGGCTGTGGACAGCTGTTGCTTCAGGTCCAACAGGGACCCTTCCGAATTCGTGAGGAATTCACCTAGGACTCCGTCAATCCTTCCGCAAGATTCCCTTCTCACTGCTTCCATACCTCGTTCTAGCTCAGAGACATCGCTTGTCAGGTTTTCCAGGGATACTAAAAAAAGAAACAAAAAATCTTAATCGAAGTAAATAAACATAATTAAAAGGTTTAAGCTACATATTTCAAAATTAAGTAATTCATAGCAGGAACATTTGAGTATTATTTTCTTCATTCTGCGAAAATATTCTACAGTGATTCCACCTCTTTTTAAATACTCTATATTTACATATTGTAATTATGAATTACTTACATTATAGTAACTAGTTTTCATAGCTAAAAAAATAAAACGAGACATACTTGTCGCAGCCTTTTCAATATGCAGCAGTTCCTTTTCAAAATCATTAAGTTCTGGTAATTTGAAACGTATAGTGTCAGCAATGTAATTTATCAGACTTAGTTTTTTATCAGCTGATTTCATGTCAACAAGTGCATCCAAAGATTGAAGCTTAAACCCATAAGCTGGCCCACGTTTAGCAGAATTGACATAGTTACCTGTAAAATATTTGTCAAATATATATAGAAAAATATGATATATATTACTTTATTAATAAGGTAAATTACAAAAATGCTACATACCAAATGCTAATACTACTTCTAACACACCCTTAAGTTTTTTAGAATTTCTCACAGCCACAGAAGCAGTTCTAAGAACTTCAATTTGCTAAAAATAAAACATATATCATCTCACTTTAATGAATAACTGAATTGTCAACTCTATTGTTCTAAAATATTGTTCTTAGAGAATCACTAAAGTGTATCCTTTCAACTGTAGAACATAAAATGAGGAATTTATTTCCAAACTGAACATTAATTGTTATTGACAAATTTTCAGGAAACATGAAAAACTATATTTTCTAATCCAATGTTATGCAAAACCAATCTTTTTTAAAAATATTATAAAAAATCTTTATTTGTAGCATATATTTGCGAACATCATTAATTATTTTAATAGTAATTTAAAAACACTTTTGAAACAAATTAAACTTCAAGATCTGTTTTAGCCTATAAAAAATTTAAATAAAAAATTACTTAACTCAGCATAAATAAATTATAAAAATAACAATTAAACAATAAGAATAAGAATATTTAAAAAAATTAAATAATCTTTATGCCAATACTATTTAACTCTTGATTAACTTACAGGTGCGATAAATTGAATATTTTCTTTAAAGCTGCCAATATAATGGAGGATACTAAGTTTGTTTGGAAGGTTGGTTATCTTATTAAGCTCCAAAAGAAGTCTGTCTTCTTCTGTAAGAACAGAAATATCCTTCTTTTCTTCTAAATATTTTTTATATTTTTTTGCCTAAAACATAGTCAAATTCTTGAAGTAATTAAATTTAAATTGTATTAAATTTTAAATCATTAGATTAAGCTAAAATACTAGTAAATAAATAATATATTACAACTCATAGATGGCAGATAATGGCCTGTACGAGTTATGTTATGGATAATGAATAGTCAAGACAACACAGAGGCTGTGGTCACCGAGTATGTTAAAGTGTTGCCCCCTTTATCATTCTCGAGTCTGGTTGCCCAGGTTTGATTTTGGTCTGGGGGAGTTGAAAGTTATTCCAAAATTAACCCACAGAATGAATCTTGATCTTCCCACTCTGATTAGAAAAGGTTTGGTTATACCTCTAGATTAATTTGTTTGCACAACACAAATGGTGAGATAAGAGATAAAAAAATAAAAGTTAGGACAACAATAAGAATTTTTATTGTACAATCAAAATTTGTAACAGAAACATGTGGGAAAGTTAATTTACCAAAGGTTTCAATAGTAATTCTGAGAGTATACGGTGTATCTCCAAAATTGCAATTATCATGAAGACAGCCAACGAATATAGATATTTAAGTTGAAATGTCGGCTAGAAAAATGAAGTTCCGAAGATTGCTTTAACTACATATTATTCATAATAACATATTATATTTCCAAATATTTTTGAACTTATTCAAAATAAAATGTAATCTTTTATAAACTCTGCATAGTCACTTCCAAAACTTACCTTCACAATTTCAAGTGATATGAGCCATTTTCCATAAAAGTGTTTAACAATACAATACAGGTAAAACAATAAAATCACTAAATGATAATGTATTAAGATTAAAGGCCTACCTCAGATTCCGTAGGAATCATCTTCATTAAAATTTCTACAGTTTCTAAAGGAATTTGTTTCAAGTCAAGTGAATTCACAGCCTTTGAAATTTCTTCTATGCCAAGTCCAATCTTACGTTTAGATATGGCTAAGGAACAAGATTATAGTTACATTCTCATGATATATATTTAAATATATTATTTGACAAATAATTTAAAATTCTTCAACTTAAAAAAAAAAAATTACTAAGCAGTTTTTACCTATATTTCTTAACCTATTATGCTCCAGAAGAGAAATAAGGTCAGACTTTTTAAACCTTTTACTGGGCATAGTTCCCAAATCAGTTTGGGATGTCTCTCGTGGACCTCCAACTTTAAATTTGTCTTCAAAGTCAGAGAAGTCAATTCTATTGAATATTCGTCCGTCATCTATTTCACAAAATACAGTCCCTCGAACCTACAACATTTCAGACATTCCATTATCAATATGAAATTAACAAAAAGCTGAGCTAAAAACAGAAAATTCAATGATGGCACTAAAATATGTAACCAATAAAATATGTTTGGATATTTTTGCATAATATTTAAATTAAAACATTAAACATTAGAACTATTAAACCGACAATTACTACACTTGATATACCTGATTAGGCCTCATTGCAGCCCAATTTAATGTTGGAAGCTTGTTCTTGGTTTGAACTTCCCTCTTGATAGTCATCGCACCAAATGGTGGTGCCATGCTCCCTGGGGGTGGTGGTGGAGGGGGAGGGCCAGGAGGAGGGCCTGGAGGAGGTGGACAAGGAGGAGTATTGGCAGGAGGAGGTGGGGGAGGTGGTGGAGGCGGTGTCCTTACAGGTTCGCTGACTGGTGTTGAAGATGCAGATGAAACTCCACTTGAACCTGCAAGGAATAAAAAAAAATCATTAAACTAATTATTTGATAGAACTAATTCCCTTTCAAAATTAATTTTGTTTATTTAGTCAATTGTGATAAATAAATAGTACAATTATCAACAAACCATGGAGATGCATACCATAATGAGAAAATATTGTATCTATTAGAAAAATTGTTAAAAGAACATACCAGAATTTATACTGCTAGGTTGGTGACTAGAATTAGAAGAAGGTTGGGGAGAAACTCTTTTGCTGACTTCCCTCCGAAGAGTGGCCACTTCCTCTTCTGCCTGTCTTCGACCCTCAACGAGTCTATCTCTCTCGGCAACTGCTTCCATTAAAGCTCGTTCAAGGGCTGCCAATTGAGCACAACTTTCTCTTTCCATCATCGACAGTCTACTATGGGCCTATAAATGACAAATATGGAAGATACTTTGTTTTTTATTAATGGAATATGTGGAAAACATATTATTTATTTACTTTTAGCCTGGTTGGATATTAACAAACTTATTTTTGTCATGTTTTATTCTTTCATTAAACTATAGAAAAACTAATGAAGGGATCGCAGGGATTCAAATGATAAATAAAACCCACACATTCTGGTTAGTGAATTGTTTTTTAAATAGAAAACCCTTAAAAGCTAAACTAAAATAAAATCTTTATAATTTTTGTATAACTAAAAAATATACCAAAATAGTCAATGCGTTTTTTTTTTTCTATTCATAGTGCCCCTTTAGTTTCACAAGATGCAAATAAATAGATGTTCAAAATTGAAAGAAAATAATTCTATTGATTTGAATTTCAAATTGAGAATATTCTTTAAAGTATGGAGTCTTGCCACATTCTGAAATCCATAGGAAAACAATTGCATGGAAGAAATAAAATCCAAACAAGATTTTAAAATAATTTTAAATAAGATACAAGATAATAAAATATAATTTTATTTGGACTAGAACATTTTTCTAGCTGTGAACTCTGTTTGATTGATGTATAGGAACAATGCAGCGAGCTTCTTAAATTATGGCAGGAGGATATTTACTAAAATCAAGAGAATACCCATGAACCTCCTTTTGAAGCAGGTGGGGATTAAAACAAAAATTATTTAATTAAATCTGAAGTTAATAAAAAATAGTTATGAGCTAATTTTTTCTTCAACTGTACAACCAAATTGTTACTTTATTATTTATTTAATAAATGAATTCCTTGTCAACAAAATATTTTAATTTTTAAAACTTAGTGATAATACAAAAAAAATTATTTTATTAAAATTGAACGAAGATTTCATCAAATTTATACATGTAAAAATTAATGATATCTTACATGACCCAATTCATCCTGAAGATCAACAACTTTCTCCATCGCAGCTGCCTTCGTCTCGCTGTCTTCCATAAGAGCAGCAACATCAAAGACATTGTCCAAGTAAGCTGATATTTGTATCTGTTAAAAATAACAATATTGGTTACACTAAAACTAAAAGAAATCTATCTTTAAAGTCGAGAAAGAATTTATTACTAAGGATTGAAAATCAAATTAAACTTAATAAGAGCATTAAGTAAAATATTTATAAATATTAAGTCAAAGATATAAAAGTATTAAGTCAAACACATTCAAGAATTAAGTAAAATATACAAGTAGCAAAATGATCTATTTTATTTTATAAAACAAGCTTGCATTAAGAAGTACATCTATAATGCATATATAAAATAAATCAGCAATTCTTTCTTATTTGGCAATGAAGACTTCCAATTAAACAACAATTGAATTTATTTGTTGAATTTCCAAATTATATGTTTACAAGTTAATATTTCGGGATATTTACTCCCATCTTCAGAACTACAATCCCAATGATTTTTTGTTGATACATAGCTTAAATCTAATGTGCTCCATCCTCAGGTTCTAATTCAAGTTATAATAAATTAAGGTATATAACATCCAGAGTAACATCATGCTTTTAGATCAATTATTGGGTGTCTGTCAGCAAAAAATAAGATAAATAAATAACCATGAAAAATTAAAAATGAATAATTTCATTTCTTTTAAAATCAAGTTAAAGACACAAAACATTAAAAAAAAATAATGATAGAAATGAAAAAAATTCAATTAATTTTCATACATTGAAGTCTATCAACATGCAATAAGCCTGATATACATTTTTTTAAATATAAAGAATATGTTTCCAAATGGATTTTTTTTTTTTTTTTTGAAATTTGGCTATATTGAATATTTACCACTGTTGATTAAGAAAAAAAAAATTGAAATTAATGTTTTACTAACAATTCGAGATGACCCATCACATTTATGGGCCTGGTACACTACATACTATGAGAGAATCAAATCTTGTTAGGAAAATTTTATACGCTGATGAAGTATGATTTCCTTAATTAATTATAACTATATTCAATCTTACTAGTATTATGCTCAAAATGACTTTTCATTTAGGTGATAAAAGGGTTTAGTTTGATCTATTTTTTTCTTTTGCATTTTTTCTTAGACAACCAGATCATATAAGTGAGAGGGCAAAATAAGAAATTGAGCAGTCCTCCTGAGGTCCTTCAAGTGTATGTAGAGCTTTATTTGCACCTCAGAAGAAGAAGGCCAATTAAGTATGCACGTTTGGAGTATGTTTAATTTATATTATCAATTTAATTTCTTTGAAAAATATAACTAAAATAAATTTAATATAAACTTTAACATGTTATTTTTTGATTGGGCAGTACCTAAAAAAGTAATGTATGTTAGTATAATGTATATTAGAATGCCATGGCCCAAATGTCACAGATAAATTTGAATAATGATAATTGTGCAGATGTTTTGGTAATGGTTGTGATTATAACAGATTTAAATAACACATATTACATCTAAACCATATCTTATTTAATATTTAACAAACTCTCCTTCTATGGGGTAACCACAATAGGATACTGAGAAAAATAATTATATAAACACAAAAAATGAAATTGGTTGAAATAAACAATAAATACTCAAGAAAAACAAAAGTCTAAAGATAGGACTAATTAATAATTGAAATTGGACCTGAAATCTGTACCTCTATATAATTAATTTAGATCCAAATTTTTGTACTAATTTTTAAATCACATCTTGCCAAATGAAAAAAAAGTTTAAATCGGTTGTAATCAGATTAAACTAAAGATATGAAAGTTAATTATAAATACCATTAATAGTATGAAATCGGTAGTATGAGGGATGGTATAGCAGAGTGGTTTCCGCACTATAGTAGTAAAGTAAAGATCATAGGATCGAATCCCGGCCCTACTTCCTACTACGGCTGGTCACTGCGGGAAGTTAGACCATACCCCCTTAATTAGGGGAGGCATAGAAGTTGTAACATATTTGTAAAAACAAGCCAGTAAAAAAAAAAAATAGTATGGAAAAGCAGTGAACAGTTGCGTTGAGCAAATTTAGGAAATATAATCAATAGAATAAAAATAATACATTACCAAAACATAGAATATAAATTTGATCCAACAGAAGAGAATCAAAAACTGAATTAACAAAAAGACTGCATTAAGCATCTAGTGCTATTAAATGCATCATGAAAACATTTTTAAAACAAATGATAGTCCTTTTTAATAAAATAATTCTAAGCTAAGCTATTCCCTAAAAAACTAGTTAACTCAACATTAAATTAACTAATAAATAAACATGTTCCATTTATTATTTTTTAGAACTCATTTAAATAACCATATGGCAAATGACAATAGTTTATAATTTATTAATTAATCATTTTATTCTCTTTAAGTACCACAAATAAAATAATAGTAAAGAAACCCGAATATAAATTGAAACATGAGATAAATAGTATGTCCACGATCAACCAGCTATTTACATTACTTAAAATAATTGGTTTTAAAACAAAAAAATTTAACACTGAAAATTAGAGATGAAGCAAACTCAATACTTAACAGACAATGGTATATAATTCTATTTGTAAATGTTCTCTTTCCATAGTAAACACTTTAGAAGAATGAATTACTGGCGTTGAAAGTATTAAATATGAGTAATTTATGTATATTAATGTTGGTTAATTACCCAGTTAATAAATACGAATAGGCCCTGTGGGAAGATAGATCAAAACCCTCCTGATTTAGGGAAATCCCACAATTTCAAAATTGAAAACATGCAATAACAATACTTATTCATATAAATTTTAATTCGATAAGCCAAATCAACTGAAAAAATAAGGAATAACAAATCAAATTCAAATAGAATAGAAAGAGAGTAAAAGAAAAGATAATAAATTTACAAAAAATTAATACAAACCATCAATTGAAACATTGAAAAACTCAGTTATTTTAGTTTTTAAATAATTTCAGGACAACTACTTCAATTATTTACTGAACTATCAACTGATTTTGGTTCTCTCCAAAGATGTGCTTTAATAAATAATTTTCCAAAATTTTGTTATTATGCACATTGTGTTTGAAAGTCTGTAGTCTCTGTACGTCAAAGTGGCATGTGTTCATAAGTTATATGAAATGTTTAAAGTAGACAGTATTAGCTGGATGACTGATTAAGAAATAAATAATTATGTAAAATAAACACTAATTAAATGAAAGCCATAGTTGAATGTGTTTTCATCATAATAAATACTTATCATTCATGGTAATGAAAATTATTTATGTAACCATTTGATATAACACTTTAAATACTCAAAATTCAATCACAAACAAATATGATCATTAACAATTAAACCATCTAATAATACTAACATTAATATTAATACTTAATTGTATTACAATTATAGTTATCATGTTTTCAAACTAATAAATGTATTGTCATTCAAATCACATGACAATGCCACCTGTGTATTAAAATATAAATATACATTATGAATAAATCATAAATGTGATAGTGGAAAGACAAATTTATTTTTTTTTATACATGTTTTAATTATTTAAAGTAGTGTTTAGATTATCTCTGTCCTGTAGAAATCAAAAAGAAATTTAGTATTTGTATATATATACATTTTTTTAAATTCCGTACGTTACTGCCTGTATTTAATTTATTTATGTTTTGTCTTGAAAGACACATTTTAATAAACAAAATTAGTATTTCCAAGTAAGTTGTGACTAAGAAGTTATTTTAGAGCTTAATCATACATTTCACTGTAGTTTATTAAATAACAGTAATTTTTTTTGGTATTCGTTAGTTAAATGTTCCACAAAAAAAAAAAAAAAAAAAAATTAAAATTAAATAAACTTTTATTTTGGGTGCTTTTCTGGCAGAACTTAAAAGTTTTTAAACATAAACAACACTTAAAAGATTGGGGGGGAGGCGGGAGAGAAACAAAATGAAGATACAAGAAAAGACAAGGTACTAATAGCGGCTTCATAAATGTTATATCCTATTCAGAGCCTCCTCAATTTGTATTAGTTTCTTACTTGCGGCAGAATGTATTAATTTTCAAATAAAAAAAAAAAAAAAGTTTCTTATTACTATTATAATTTGTATATAACTGATTAAATAACATGTTAAAACCTCCGTACATGCTATAATTGTTTGTTGTTCAGACTTTAAAGCTGCTAGAGACATGTAAACACATGGCAGAGCTGTCAACATTTTTTACACATTTAAACATTGCAAAACCTTCTCTGAAACTAGACCTTTTTACATATTTATTTCTTTAGAAACACTGGTAACAGATTAAATTCCCAAATATAAAATTTTATTTTTGTATTGATACTTTCATTTCATAGATTGCATTTCATGTCTAGTCTAAACTTAATAATTTTTTTATTTTTTTATGTTTTCGTTTAATGAAAGGAAGAAGATGAAAGATTCAATCAATATTTTTTGCCTAGGTTTAAAGTCACTGATGGTATAGCCATTGAAACATTTTTTTTTTAGGAATGCACATTGTCCTTTTTTTATATTCTAACCTTTCAATAAAACAAGTATTAATAAAGAAAAGAAAATGATCTTATTTAAAACTGAATAATGATTGTATTAGTATGTAAAATTACTATTGTATTTTTGTACAATAATACTTATTGTATTATCCTTGTGAGCTGGTATAACAAGATTTCTTTAGATTTATGATGATAAAGTTTCATACTTTTATATAAATAATATCATAATAAACATAAATAATAAAATTTAAAAATGATTTTTTACAGAAATAATCTTATCACTTCTTTGCTCTGATAGTAGAACAACCAAAATATAAGTGTTTTTAAAATTTAGTATTGAGCATATTCCAAAAAGTAGTAGTTACATCATAGTATGATATACAGCGACAGTCATGCTGCAAAAGCCTGTAGAAACAATTTTATTATGAGATACGGTTTTGAGCATTTCTGACCAATATTGGCTGCTACTGGCTTATCCAGAAATAAAAATGTACAATGTTTCAAAGAAAATCACATCTTTAACAGATAATCTCATTCATAAAATGGAAAACTCGTTTTTTTCTTTATCCTATATATGTTTAGAACTTACACTTACAGACTTCGGGAACATGGCTGTGTATATGAAACATGCATTATTCAGGAATATATTATTTATTGGAATATGCTAAGAAATGATTAAAGGAAGTTAACAGCTATGGATATTGCTGCATTGTTCGTTATCTTTATAAATCAACTAGCACCCCTTATTGCGGCTTTGCCCACTCATTAGGAAAATGAGCTGTCTTTATATATAATAGTATAGATTTACAAAAAAAAAAGTAATAATAATAATTATAATTAGATCAAGTAAAGTTTTGATTTATTCATACACTTCGAGGTATATGATTTATGAGGTTAACTAGGTTGGATTTCTTAAAAAAAGTTTTTCTTGGTAATTTAAAAGTAATTAACAGAAATGAAACTTTAATTTACACATTAATTCCAATCAAAAGGTTAACAATATCATATGATAACTAACAGTTGTTAATCGTACCTTGCATTCGATCCAAAATTGTCTAAATTTTTGGAAACAACCTTTACATTTTCTTTTTCTTTTCTTTTCATCCATTGCAACTTAATAAAAGCCATGTTTCATGCTTGTTTATTTTTTAAAATTAAATATTAAATATTTAAGTTAATAAAAAAATAAATAAAAATCATAGAGCACAACATCCATGGATGTTTGCACATGTCCAAAACAAAAGCAAGAATAAAATTGAACAGGGATTTGTGTAAACATATAGATAAAACAAAGATAATTTAAAGTCCTTTATCACATTTGAAGGTGTAAACATACTAAGTAATACAAGTGCAGTGAACTTTCATTGAAAAATGAATGTGGTACTTATTTTATCAAGACAGCAACAAAAGGCATTACAGTTCATTGAACTCTTGTTGGAAAACCCTTATTTGGAAAGTAAATGGTATTTATAACTAAAGTTATATTACATTTATAGCAAATGAAAGTCAAAGAGTTGGGGACAAATTGTGGCATTAAAATAGTATGCATAATAAATAAGTTATGTAATCTGGCATATTACAGAGTTTTTTTTATCTTATTCTGAGATTAATTAAAAAATAACAATAAATACAAAAATTGAAACTGTTTATTATTTTTTTTTAGTATGTTAAATTTAATTTGCACATTTTCCTTGAAAAACTCTAATTTAAATAAAATAAAAATATTTTATTTCATGGATTGGATAGGAAAATGATAGGCAATAAGGATCAATTAAGAAAACATTCACCAAAATTACAGTATATTAATTAATGGACATTCAAGAAAGTAAAAAAATGGTTAATATTCAAATATTCAAGAATTAGAAAATAAAATTGAAAGTTATATAAAAATTATTTTTCAAGTTTTTAAAAAAAGTACTTAAACACTCACTTGAAGCTCCTCACTTTCTGTGTACTTCAGTTTTTCAAGGTATGAATCAAGCCCTAACTGAGTGAATTCGTACTGCAAGTGTACTCTGTAGTTCATATCATCCACAGAATGTACAATGATATTAATGAACTGCATACATGCAACCTGAAATGTCGTAAACAAATATAAATAGTGCAAATACATACGGTTACAATGTGGATTAAAGTTTCCTTGATAACAAAATTTGTTATGATAAACATTGTTTTCATTTAAATTTCTAAATTTTAGAAGTTTCAAATTTCAATTAATTTCTCCGTATTTACTAACAAATCAGTTCTGACAACTGATATGAAAGAGACAATTGTGTATCATTTTCTTCAACTGTTAATTGTTAAATAAAAAATTATATACTACTGAATTTTAAAAATAAAATAAAAATATTTCTCCAAATATTGCACAAATAAATATTTATAGATTAAAAAAATTAGGGAAAAAAATCAAACAGTTGTCCTCACAGGAATAGGCTTAAATCAGTACTGGGCAAGGAAAAAATGTAAGAGGTATCTTTTATTATATAAAATGAAATGTTGGCATATATACCAGTCTTTAAAATGCAGCTTCCACTATGTGTTTTTATTGTAATGTCATTCTAATGCCATTGCCAAAAGGGATTGACGTAATAATGGTCTAAGATACGCTGAGTATGGACCAACTTTTATTGATCTACTGTAAATTAAAAGAAAAGTATATTGCCTGTTATTTGACCGAATCCTTCAATTATAACATTCCTTAGAATATCTTTTAAATTCAAAATGTTATGTATTAAAACTAGCCCTAAATCAAGAAAACAGAGAAGATACATTTAGCACACGATATGGCAAATTTATAACGAAAAGTTATCAACATTTAAAAAAATTAAACCTATCAGTAATTTGATACTTTTTTTTTCAGTGCACTTATGTTAGTGTGATTATTTTAGACTTGTAATAGAGTTAGCATTATTTTGATGCACATAATGAGTTTTTCCATTGAGAAACATGACTGAAAATTATAAATGCGTTTCTTAAGGTGTAGCTCTACTAGGAATGTACTTAAAACTTTCAGCTAAACCGAAGATCTTAACTAGCCCAATGAGAGAAAAAATTATTTATAATCAAAATAGAGTGAAAGTTGTGTGATTCTCATACTAGATTTATAAAAATTATTTGATGAATTATTCAACTAATTTTGACTTAGTTGACTACAATTCAATTTCCTATATTGCAGATATATTTTATATCATATGAAATTGAAAAATGGAATAAAAAACATGAATTAATTTAAAACAAAATGAGAGTTGCATTAGGTTTAATTACCATGAATTCTACATGAAATGATTCGTAGTTGACAAAATATGTCATGAGAGTCTCAAACCTCCTTTTTTCCTGGCAAACTTCTTTGAAGTGATCAAAGGCCTCGAGGATGATCTCATGGCCACCTTTCACTAAACAAATAGCTGCGAGAAGTTCCAGGACCAATGCTTTAGTTCTAAATAAGTAAATATAACATTTCAATTATATTCATCAAATTTAAATCTATAAATTCAAATTTAATATTGCTGAAATTTAAAAATTAATTAATATTGTTTGAATTATTGTGGAAGCTTAAATTTAATAAACTAACCTTGGACTCTTGTGAGTTAAACTAAGGGCTATACCATTGATTGCATCAGTACTTTGAATGACCAAACTGAAACCATGCTGGGAAAAAATAAATAAAAACAATGTAATAAATATACATTCCTAATAATATCACAAATATAAAAAATCATTGTAAGCATAGACCTTACTTTATTATTCATTATTGCTCTCAGGCACATTATACATATGTGAATATCATCCTTAGTATCTCCCATTTTCAGCTTCGCTGCATGTCGAGATCTACGCCTAAGGTCGTGAGGATCAAAACGAGTGGTTTTACAATTTCCATTATGGAGACCTATCAAAATTAAAAATTATTTATAATTATAAAGAGGTTGTTTGTATCAGTAAAAAAAAAGAATAATATATATTTATTGAAGATATAGATTAAAATATTTCAGAAACTAAAAATCTGATTCGCATACTGTATGGGAGGGGGAGAGGAATTGTTCAGCATTTTATCCTCTTTTTAATGAGCTATTATATATAATCTATATTTCATATAATTAATCTTGCATTGTTGATGTTTTCACTTATATCGTGTGGTCTAAAGCACACCTTAGTTTTTTAAATTTTATTTTTACAAAATAAATTTTAACCCATCCCGGCTGGAATTGAACTGGAACTGCTAGACCCAGAAATATTAGAAGGCAATGCTTTCACAAGTTTACACGGCCTTTTCTTATTGTTTGTACTGAGCAGGAACTTAAAATCAACAGTTTAAAATAACAAAAAAAAGAAAAAGAAATTACTATTTGTAAAAACTCTAAACACCAATCACAATTTTTCCTCAGTATTGGTGAATAGTATAAGGATAAATTTATATTACATTAAAAAAAAAATTGATAAAAATTAAATATTTGATTCAATTTGTCATGCTTACTGTTCAGTGAAAGACTGTCATCTGAAGATGTCCTTACAATATTTCTAGCTTCTGCCCTCATCATCATAAGCCGGAAGCAAAGGTAACCAATGAGGTAGTCTAAACCCCGATGTTCATCATCAAGAAACTCCCTTACCCATCTATAAAAAACAAATATTTTATGGTCAATGAATAATTTTTGTTATATTTTATAAATCACTACAATCAAGTTTATATTAAAGGAATTAATGTAACAGCAAACTAAATATCCTCTTACTCAATATGGTTTGTCCTTAAAGAAATTTCGAGGTCTCTCAAAACTTGAGTCGAAGTCGAATCGCCTAGCATTTTCCGTTTCTGAAAAATTAAACAGAAATTGAGCAATGAATTAAATACTGAACTAATGTTGACAACTTTTTGAAGTGAAAATTCCAATCTGTAATTAAAAATAAAATAAAAAATAAAACTATGGACTATCAAATAATCTTCACCTCAAATTAATGAAATGGTGAATAAATTACAATAAAAAATATTTTTATTTTTGGACAGTTTTTAAATTCAATTAATAATTAATTTTAATTGAATTTCATTTTCAAGATCCAGGTACTAACATACCCTGTTAAGAATGGCATACTCATTACATTTCTTTGAATTTTTAATTTCAACTTAATTCCTTATTCTTTTTTAGATTTTTTTTTTTTCCGTTCAAGGTTCATGTGTCAATCTCGAAGAGTGCTTTTATTCACTTTATTTTCATTTTATCTAGTAATTTTTAAAATATGTTTTGATAGGAATGAACCTAGATTTTTATCAGAGGAATACAATTATAATTTTGCCACTATTTTTTTCCATACCCTATCTCCTCTTTAATAACCAACTGTTATAAAATAGTAATTTTGATAATAAATTTTGGAATAAATATCAAATAATTAACTCATTTTATTGACTGAATTAAGGTCATAAAGTAGAAACAAATATTTTTCATTAGAATAAAAATAAAAATTGAATTGGCTGTATAAATACTGCCACCAGGGCAAATGCACCCATTGCTCCCTCTCCACATTTTTGGCATAGGTATCAATTTAAGCACCACTTGAATATTACATCTTTAATAAAAGTTAACTAGTTTTTATTGTAGAATAATCTAATATGTACACATATTGGCTGTAAAGATTAAATAAGAACATGATAAATATAATAAATGCAAAATATTCAGAAAGGAAAACAAAATATAAATAACAATTATATTGTAGAAACGAAATAAAAAAAGAACAAATAATTCAGAAGGATTTCTTTACCAATTAAATTGAATAGTATGCTATTATTTACCTTTGCACTTCTGGAGGCCTTGGGATCAAGGTAAGTCCGAAGTTTTTTAAGGTACAGCGATGGGGGGTCCTTAGCTTGCACTCGTTCCTGAAAAATAAAATAAAATAAAATTTTACATGTATTCAAAATTGAGTTTAAATTGAAATTGAATCAGTCATAAAAAAAGAAAGGAATGTATCACAGAAACAATTATATTCTGATATGAAGAGTTTCATAGTATACAAATCATCATAATCCCTGAAATTTTCGAGATGATAAATAATTGTAAATGTACTAGACATAGCTGATTGGTTATATGATACATCTAAATGACAGAAATTGTATATTTTCATAAATAAAACAGTTTTAAAAATAAAATTAAATCAACCTGCACCAGAGGATTATTATTATGATTGCTTCAAGTCATGATGAATGTTTGAATTATTTCACTCAGCAACGAATTTAACCATGGATAATTTTCTTAATTATATAGGTACTTGTACTAGTATTGGCGAAGACAAATATACTGCATTAAAAATATTAATTTGTATATTTTAGATCATGTTAGGCAGATTCTAAAACCAAGTATTGAGTATCTCAAATGGTAAATAACGAACCTGTCAACGTTTCAGAAATTTAGATCAGGACCCAAAAACAGAAGATATAAGTGCAGACCAGATATAGCATATCTCACATCAACAGCCAAACTGATATAGTTCATGGGTTCAAGACACTTCAACACCCATTGATGAAATACTCTAATGGATAATGGATTATAATGTCTCATTTTTATTTCTGTATGTATACTGTGTCATATAATTACAAATTTTAACAAACAATGAATGGAAAGTATGTTCGTAGAGCATAGTTCATGAGTAAAAATTATTCAACTGCTTTGACCCTATTATCTCAATAACATAAAACGAAATTTTGAAATGACCCATATACGTTTATACAATCTTATCTTCTTACTTCCTGTATTCTTCCATGTTTTAACTTTTATGACCTACAACATTGTTTGAAACATTACAACGCGTTGGCGAAATATATATATATTGTAAGATAAATTTATCATATAGACCACTCTGCAAAACTGTAAGTACAGTTTTATTAGATAAAGAGGTTTAGAGCTTTTTTGTTCAATCTAAAACACGCGCATATTAAAAAAAAAAACGTCATTTAAAACATTACACATTTGTTTTAGGCATGTAGTAAAAATTAAACGAGAAATCTAGTTCGTAAAATAAGAAATACACGATTACATCTAATGAATATTTTTCCTTTTTCAACTTACAGGGTTTAGCAGGTTGACGAAATGTTTTATTGATGCTAGTCGCATACCAACAAATATAACGAAGATTTTATAATACAAATTGGATACGAAAATTCATATTCATGAAGAAAAAACTAAATTTAGGAAGGAAGGTAATTTCTATTATTCCTCAACTTTTATTTCTATATAGTTTTTGTAAGAAATTATATTATCTTGTTGATAATAAATGTCAGTTTTAATTAAAATAATACAACACAAAATAATTTTTGGTGTAATTTTTTATTGTATATAACGGACAACCTGGTGACCGAAGCGTCTTCTATATAGACGCTATATTTATATAAATAAATACAAATTATGAATTCTGAAGGATATAATCTCTTTTTCTGAAATTTAGTCGACTATTCTACATATCATACATCTATGATATGTAGAATAGTCGACTGCAATGACTGCATGACTGCATCTTGACTATTTATCATCATAAATAGTCAAGATGCAGTCATTTTAAGATTTTATTGTTGGGCAACAATAAAAATCTTAAAATGACTTGCGTTCTAACTATTTATCGCCTACCATAATTTTAGTTTAAATAACCTGCTGCAGTTAAATAAGACATTTTGTATATTATTTTCAACCATATCTTGTTTCAAACTCATTGAAGTTAATCCAATATTTAATTTATACATATTAAGGAATAAATATACATATAAATCAATCTTTCTGAAGTACACTTTTGGAAATCCCAATTTGAAAAGTTAGATGAAAATTGCCTATCAATAATTCAAAAAAATATATGAAAGATAATACCAATGCTGGATAATTAAAATATCTATTTGAATAGCAATATACTGGAAAACAGTAACAAAAAAACTCGAACATGATGGAGTAGGTCATGGCCAGAGGAAGGTGGCGACGCCTGGTGAGCGGGGCGATAAGTAGCCAAGGCCGCTCTGACTCAGACTGCTTTACATACTGGAGATGCCCCTCACCTACACCCAGCACCGCATTCCTCCCGGCATCATTCCTCTTTTTATTCCATTTTCCATCCCCCCTCCCCCTGCCACCTGGGGATTGCCGGGGTATCCTGAGGGTCCGGGGGTCATGAAGAGAGGTGCGCTATGCCTCCAGGAAGGGTATGCAGGTACGTCGGAGAGCAGATTCCTAAGAGGTCACTGGATTCGCGCTTTACAATGGACAGGGTGTGCCGGCTAGTTTTTGTTTTGTTTTCTTGACGATACTGCCTGATGAAGACAGCTGTGTTGGAGATGATTTGTATCTCAGGCGCAATCGCCTAATTTACATTCAAGAGTTGGGAAAAGTATAGAATTAACAATAAAAAAGCGGAAGTAGAATAATGAAAATTTTAGTTAATATACAATTACACTTGCTGTGATATATTCTTTGTTTATTCACTTATATAAAACTTAACTTGTTTGGAAGTTAATTCATATTGAAACCACCCATAAGCATGGTCCTCTCCAAAATTGAAAATACGAAACATCGTAAAAATATGACCCCTCTAAAATTATAATGGTACACCTTGAGCCATGCCACTCCTTTCCGGGCACCCCTGCAGAGGAATAGTAATGCAGCTAAAGAGCGCTCTCAGAAACTACTGCTCTTAAGATCATCCGGAGCCAATCGTTTCCAAGTAAAATCGTCCTCAATAGAAATGACATTTTAATAGCAGACAGTGAGTAAAAAAAAAAACGTGAATATTTACAATCAATACAACAAATTTGATAAATGCATGAATAGCAACGGTGCTGAGAGAGATATAACGTTAGCCTTAAATATATAACATGATATACTTAATAAACTAGCACGCTAATCAGTTATATCTAATTGTGATTAGGATCAGGAAACCGGTTTGATTTGAAGGTGACTATGATTAAATATCATTTTAATAAATGATTTACGATGCTGGCTGGGATTGAGGTCAACTAATTTTTAAAACAGCTATTAGTCATGAGCAATCAGATTCATTTCCATTAAAATGGTCTGATCCTGTATTAGTGACGCTGAACAAGATTCCAAGGGCTTTTTGAGGAGTAATTAGTCAAATCATTGCTAATCTTTCTTAACAACTTTGAATACTTTTGAAAGAAGAAAATGTAATTAGGTTAGTGTTTTTTCCCAGCTGCGGAACCCATGCCATTCTTAGGTTCAATGTCAAAATAAGGTAGTGTACAGTGTCTGTTTTTTGAATTTGTTGTCAATAAAAACTGAAAATCAAGTTTCAATCAAATATTGAAGATGTAACGAGTAATGTAAAAAGTTAAAATTAAATTTAATCATATAATATATTATTATGAACTCTAATTTTAATAAATAGTAATCAACAAAAACAAATTGCAAAAATATGGCACCTAAATTAACTACGAAATGTCTCGTAGAAATTATATTGAAGGTGGACTATTATAACTTCTTACCAAATTGAAATTTGGTTTTCTTGAGTTAAAAAAAAATATTCAGTTATGTAATTTTGACAAATAATGTTATAGGGTCAGCGAGAAATATTTAAGTTTATTTTTGTCTCGTGTTAAAAGTAAAGTACCATCTGCATGTATCAAACTGATACATCTGATGTGTCTCATCTTTAATATTAGAAACATTTGGTCAAAACTTTTAATCGAAACTGAAATAATATGGAGAATAATTTATCAGTCTTCGAAGCAAATCGTTATTTTAATGTTAGACGATGTAACTTAAGTACAGTAACCCATTATACAAATTCAGGTTTCACCCTGTTCGGGAACGCTGAATATAGATGAATTCGATAAGACGAGTAGTACGGTTAATGAGAAGGATAATAAGAACGATTATAATCCATTAAGGGCAGAATCTCTTTAAGTCGGTATTCATTTGGTTTACCGCCCTTATTTACTCCAATGGAGAGAGGAGCAATGAGAACCTGTGGTTTATCAATCTGTTTCGGCCAATGTGAAGTTTGATTTTTATCTATGAAGTGGTACTAATCGAAATAAAAACTAACCATCATAGAATCAGTCCTAATTGGACTCTTATGATACAGCGAAATCCACTGCATTTACCAATCATTCTTCAATTATCAAATGGAGAGCCGTCGCGACAACGTAGCTACTGGACCGTTCGCTTTTAACTCCGGGTCCATGAAGACGCCTAAGTGGGCAATAAAAATATAAATAATATATAATATTCCTGAAAACAGTGATAATTCTATTGTACATATGACTGACCTTCAGTCAAGCTGTCAACTGGAAATTATCATATTAGAAGAAATATATTCATATAGATATTCAAATACATATAGAAGAAAAAACATTCGGAAAGCCTAGTGGCCAATTTGAGGTAGGCGCACAGTAAAATTTCGTTTTTGCGCCTACAATCAAAGAGAATGTAGGCTCTGATAAGAGTATCACGAAAATTTTGATATTAGAAATTATCTTAATCACCTTACCGATGAGAAAAAAAAGGTAATTTTTAAACACAATACAAGAGAAATATTGGTTCAATTAATTCATTTTCTAGGTTTCAGTCATTACTAATAAAATTTTAATTTTTATATTTTATTTAAGATTGGGCAATTTAATTCATTTTCTCCAGTGTTAAGTTATTAGCCATTTAATAATAAATTATAATAATAAATGGTAATACTCTGATAGATTTTCAGTAATTCATTAGTTATTGATACCATTTTTTACTTTCCTACCTATACTAGGTAAGGAAAGTATTGCAATCGGTACAATTTCCGACATGCGGTTTTCGACGGATCTATACGTTTCAGAGCCCCTGAGTCCGAAAAACACATTTTAGCCATTGGTCTGTCTGTGCCAAGATTTTCTCGCGAACCACTGAACCGTTTTTAGCCATCTGAATACGCTGTCTAGTCTGTCGTTTGAAAGGTAATGAAATTCCCTACAAAGCCATATAAAAATCGTTCATTTTGGACAACTATTAACGAAGTTACAGCTATTCAATTGCCAATGTAAGATTACGGTTTCATATCCCAGTGTCAGAAAGGTGTGAATGAGAGAATAAAGATGACTAAGTGAAAGTCAGAAAATCTGTTGCCCGCATCACACAATCTTCACTATTTCCGCTACTTTTAACAGAAATTGACAATACTAAGCTATGCCAAAAAGTTTTTGATCAGAAATATTAGGAAGTATTGAAATTTTTCCACTGATCTACCTTAAGCCGGTTTACTTTGTTTAATTTATCAAATAAATCGCACTCAAATCTTATGTTTGATCAATTTTCAGGAAAATGTATCTAGTTTAATTCTTTTTTGTTTCTTCATGAACATATGTAAAGATATAAAAACTTTTCTGAAATAGGTAGGAAAGTCGTGTGAGTGGACACACCAGATATTTTTTAAACAATTTAATCGATTTTTTAAAAAAAACTTTTATTAAATTTTTTTATTTCATAAAATTTGCATACAACACTCACTTATTGCCCAAATTTTCAGTAGAAATTGGTATAAATTATTATAATTCTGTGCACTATATATTTTTGGTTTATAAATCTGAAATAAAGAATAGATTTTCATATACTCTCAATGAAAATTTGATTTAGTTTCTATAGAAACGTTTATTGGCCATTCAAGTCAATTAAAAAAATCATATTAATTAGGAATCATATTAAGTACTATTCTTTATTTTATGCAATCATTTATTCTCCTTGATATCATATTTGCTGAATACCGAGGTAGATGGCAAATTTATTGTGAGCTAGGAATATGTGGAACTCATAAAAGTAAAATAAATAATTAGAAAACGATTTTTTTTTATTTATTTTTTTTTTTTAACACTTTATTGAGAAATATTACAATTTGTCACAGTTAAGGACACAAGAAACGATTTATGTACAAAAACTTTGAATTAAGTCATATGGTTTTAATTGAGATTTAGTTGAGGTCTCAATTCCTCGGCTGTAGATGTTTTGTAATTTGATCCGTGTTGGCCAATACTTTATAATTAGTAATTTAATAATTTCGTTTATCAACATGAAGTTATAAATAAATTTTTCTTACGACTTTTCTATGTTTTACTAAATTAAATGATTTATTTAGCGAACAGCTATTGAAGTTTCGAGTAGAATCGCTAT